CCTGGTAGGCCTCCCATAGGGCCCAAATTTGCCACGATCCCCAGCCTAAGTTGAGAGGTCGTGGTCTCTTGGGGCTGTCCTGGGACCCCTGGCAGCTGGTGGGCGATTCAGACAGCTTGTCGGACCTTCCTGGGGGCTCCGAAAGAGCGAGGACCCCCGAAGAAGCTTCAGGGAGGCTTCAGGAGGCCCCGGCAGGGCCTCCCAGAAGGCCCAAATTTGCCACGATCGCCTAAGTTGGGAGATCGTGGTCTCTTGGGGCTGTCCTGGGACCCCTGGCTGCTGCTGGGCGGGATTCGGACAGCTTGTCGGACCTCCCTGGAGTCTCCGAAAGAGCGAGGACCCGCGCGGAAGCCCCACGGAGGCTTCAGGAGGCCCCCGCAGGGCCTCCCAGAGGGCCCTACTTTGCCACGATCTACAGCCTCAGTTGAGTCTCTTGGGGCTGCCCTGGGACCCCTGGCGGCTGCTGGGTGGGATTCGGACAGCTTGCCGGACCTTCCTGGAGTCTCCGAAAGAGCGAGGACCCCCGCGGAAGCCCCACGGAGGCTTCAGGAGGCCCCGGCAGCAGGGCCTCCAGAGGGCCCTACTTTGCCACGATCTACAGCCTCAGTTGAGTCTCTTGGGGCTGTCCTGGGACCCCTGGCTGCTGCTGGGCGGGATTCGGACAGCTTGCCGGACCTTCCTGGAGTCTCCGAAAGGGCGAGGACCCGCGCGGAAGCCTCACGGAGGCTTCAGGAGGCCCCCGCAGGGCCTCCCAGAGGGCCCTACTTTGCGACGATCTACAGCCTCAGTTGAGTCTCTTGGGGCTGTCCTGGGACCCCTGGCTGCTTCTGGGCGGGATTCGGACAGCTTGCCGGACCTTCCTGGAGTCTCCGAAAGAGCGAAGACCCGCGCGGAAGCCCCACGGAGGCTTCAGGAGGCCCCGGCAGGGCCTCCAGAGGGCCCTACTTTGCCACGATCTACAGCCTCAGTTGAGTCTCTTGGGGCTGTCCTGGGACCCCTGGCTGCTGCTGGGCGGGATTCGGACAGCTTGCCGGACCTTCCTGGAGTCTCCGAAAGGGCGAGGACCCGCGCGGAAGCCTCACGGAGGCTTCAGGAGGCCCCCGCAGGGCCTCCCAGAGGGCCCTACTTTGCGACGATCTACAGCCTCAGTTGAGTCTCTTGGGGCTGTCCTGGGACCCCTGGCTGCTTCTGGGCGGGATTCGGACAGCTTGCCGGACCTTCCTGGAGTCTCCGAAAGAGCGAAGACCCGCGCGGAAGCCCCACGGAGGCTTCAGGAGGCCCCGGCAGGGCCTCCAGAAGGCCCTACTTTGCCACGATCTACAGCCTCAGTTGAGTCTCTTGGGGCTGTCCTGGGACCCCTGGCTGCTGCTGGGCGGGATTCGGACAGCTTGCCCGACCTCCCTGGAGTCTCCGAAAGAGCGAGGACCCCCGCGGAAGCCCCACGGAGGCTTCAGGAGGCCCCGGCAGGGCCTCCCAGAGGGCCCTACTTTGCCACGATCTACAGCCTCAGTTGAGTCTCTTGGGGCTGCCCTGGGACCCCTGGCGGCTGCTGGGCGGGATTCGGACAGCTTGTCGAACCTTCCTGGAGACTCCGAGAGGGCGAGGGCCCCCCGAGGAAGCCCCTACGGAGGCCTCAGGAGGCTCTGGCAGGGCCTCCCAGAGGGCCCTACTTTGCCACCCCGTCCTCCTCCTCCTCCTCCTCCTCCTCCTCCTCCTCCTCCTCCTCCTCCTCCTCCTCCTCCTCCTCCCTCCTCCTCCTCCTCCTCCTCCTCCTCCTCCTCCTCCTCCTCCTCCTCCTCCTCCTCCTCCTCCTCCTCCTCCTCCTCCTCCTCCTCGATCTCCAGCCTCAGTTGGGGGAGCGTGGCCTCCTGGGGCTGTGTCCTGGAGCCCCTGGCAGCTGTGTGGGCGGGGTTCGGACAGCTTTTCGGGCCTCCCGGATGGCTTGATCTTGCATGTTTGAGGCGTTGCTTCGCTGCGACACTGAAGCCGTCTGAGGCCCCTCATTGGAGCCACGTCGGGGCTGTCTCAGAGCCCTTAAAGACGCCACAAAGGGCCTTCGTACAACAGATGAGGCCCTGCGTAGAATGCGTTGTGCTCCAGCCTCGAAAGGTGGACCAGTATACGCACCACGCTGAGCCGTTACACGCACCCACTCGGGCCGCACTTCGAGACCTCAAAGACGCCCGAAAGGGCCTGCTTATACCAAATATGGCCCTGCGTATACTGCGTCGTGCTCCAGCCTCGAAAGCTGGAGCATTAACCACGCTGGGCCGTTATACGCAGCCTTGCTGGCCCTTCGTGGAGCTCCCTTGGGGCTTTTTGAAGCCCTCGAAGGATTTCAAGAGGGCTCCCAGGGAACATTGAAACCTTTGACCGATCTGCGCCCAGAGGACTGGTGGGATGCTCCAAAATCCGCTGACCCACAGCCCAGTTATGGTGGCGGGTTCAGCCGAAAACGCCACGTGACCTTGGTCATCGGCGCCACGTTACAAATGCGCAAGTTTCGGGGATCTTCTGACCCGGGTCAATCCAGACCCGGGTCAGCAGGAAACCAAAAACTGCAATGCAGGAAAAACAAACTGCAACGCAGATCTTCGCAGACCCGGGTCAGCCAATACGCGCGGCCGCCTCGCGGCCACGAGCGGCTCGCTAACCCGGGTCAGCCAGAGGGGGTCTTCGCAGGATCCTGCAGGATCTGGTGCCCTGGCTGACCCCCGTTTGCATTGCCCCCCGTCTCAAGGCTCCCGAGACCGCCGGCCTTGCCGCCAGGCAACGTCCTTGAGGCACCAGCCTCGCCACGGGGTGTGGCGGGCAGAGTCTGAGGGCGCACGATGGCTCGCACTGCCGCCGGCCAGCGTCTCAAAGAGGACGAAGCCTGGTAGCGGACCGACGTGAGAGGGTGGAGGACCGCCGGCCTTGCCGCCAGGCAGCGACCTCGAGGCGTCTGCCTCGCGACTGGTCTAGGCGTGCGGACTCTGCAGATGCAGGCAACCTGGCGTCGCCGCCAGGCAGTGCCCACAGGAAGCGAGGTGCGAGACCAGGGAGACGTGAGTGTACAGGACCGCTGGCCTTGCCGACAGACTGTGTGCTTCGCGACAGGGAGGAATCGGGAGGACAAAGAGGAGGAGGAGGAGGAGGAGGAGGAGGAGGAGGAGGAGGAGGAGGAGGAGGAGGAAGGAAGGAGGGGGGAGGGGGAGGAAAGAGAGGAGGAGGAGGAGCAGAAGGAGCAAGCACGTGCGGCGCCGGCGGCGGGTGCGCCGGCTGTGGCTCCAGGGCGGGGGAAGAGGAGGAGGAGGAGGAGGAGGAGGTGGAGGAGGAGAAGGAGGAGGAGGAGGAGGAGGAAAAAAACGAAAAAACGTCTCTGGCCGAGTCGGGCCGGGCAGCGAGCAGCCCCGGCCGTGCCTCCGTGGGGGGAGGAGGAGGAGGAGGAGGAGGAGGAGGAGGAGGGGAGGAGGAGGAGGAGGAGGAGGAGGAGGAGGAGGAGGAGGAGAGGAGGAGGAGGAGGAGGAGGAGGAGGGGGAGGAGGAGGAGAGGAGGAGGGGGAGAGGGGGAGGGGGGAGAGGGGAGGAGGAAGAGAACACGCCCCGCGCGGGGGGGGGGGGGCAGGAACCTGCGGGGCGGGCGACTGTGGGGAAATCGTACAGGCCTCCGAGGTGGGGTCGGAGTAGATGGCCGAGCCCCGCAAATGGGTGAAATGCATGCGGCGCGTGCGCCAACTGTGGCTCCAGGGGCAGAAGATGTCCCGTGCCATCAGGAGCAAGGAGAGACGATGGCACCACTGGGTGAACAAGCAACTACACAACGCAGCATCGGAAGTCCGCGCGGATCTCTCGTGGTCGCCGCTGGACCTCCCCCCCTGGTTGGGCGTGGCTTGATGAGGGGGTCATAATTGCGGGGGGGTCAGAAACGGTCCCATTTCGTGCCCCTTTCGGGCCCCTCCGACGCCCCAGGGGGCTCGTTTAGGTACCGTTTGGGTACCTTTTCGGACCACCCTCGCCACCCCGCATGTTTGATGTATGACCCTCCCATTACGCAACGCCCAACCTGGAGCGCGGGGCGTGCCAGGGAGGGCGCCAGAGGCGCCGCAGGGGTGGTCGAGCGCCGATCCGAGAAATCCGCGCGCGGACCTTCTCGAACAACTTATGTGAAGGGGCCCCAGGACACACAAATAAATACACACATAAAAGGATTCCCCATATTTTGTTGCAATTGTTTCTGGGTTATTGTCTTCTCCCCCACTACCCATATTTTCCCATATTTTCTGGGAATCGACGATGAATAGTGTCTGTGTGTTTTTTCCCCTCCTGATTCTGTCTATTGTGTAGCTTCTTCCCCGGAGCCGCAACCGTGGTCAAGGGGCAGAGGGTTAGAACGCAGCTCACGCAAGCTGTTAATAGTCCCAATGGCGCCCAATAGCGCACGTCCAATCGGGCGCAGAGCGGACATCATACATCTTCCTCACGTGTCACTGTTGGGAGCCATTGGTCGCTACTGGGCGCTACTTGAACTATTCGGCGCCACTGGGCGCTAATGGACGCTGTTTGGCGCGATTGGGCGGTATTACAAAGCGCTATTCGCGCTGATACACATTCAATCTTAGACGAGCGGCAGCTTCCGTGATTTACTATCTAATGATGAGGGTCGTCGTGATGGTGTGGTGAAGCCATTTTCGGCGTCCTGGCTCGAGACACATTGCATCTCCAGCTCCGAGAGGCGCCCCGGGCCTACTCCTGGGTCGGGCATGTCCTCCTACAGGCAGATCTTGGAGGACAAATGCAAGATATGCAAAAAAACATACCCCAAAATAGTTTAAAACGATAGAACAGTCGGCCCCAGACTGTTGCTTGACTATGTTTGCAGATTCCTCCTGGAGGGGGGGCAGGCCCGACTGAAGCCTGCTCGCCCGGGGGGGGGGGGGGGCTGCGGCTGGTGCTGCCGCCTCTCCCGCCCCTCCGGCCCCTCGCGGCGACGCCGAGCGCGCGCACGGCCCGCGCAGGGAGTCACTCCGCCGCCGACAGGGGCGTCGCCTCCTTGTTCTCTCCCCTCGAGACCGAGCGCCTGATGCCGCGGGCCTCCTGTGGGGAAGCGAACAATGACATGAACATGACAACTCGGAGGTCCGCGCGGGTTTCTCGGATCCGCGCTGGACCCCCCTGGCTGCGCCTCGGGCGCCGCCCCTGGCGCGCTCCGCGCGCCAGGGAGGGCGGCCCAGCGCCGATCTGAGAAATCCGTGCGGACCTCCGAGTTCTTATGTTCATGTCATCCTTGGTTTATGTTGCTCCCATCCCACTCAGGGACCGCATCCCAGAGACAATTTCGAGCACCCAGAAAAGTCTCGAAACAGAGTGTCTCCCAGGGCCCGACACGTGACCACCCTCGAGTCTCGGTGCTCTCTCCGGTGCTCGAGATTCTTTCTGGTGACCAAGGCTGAAGTAGGCTGGAGCATCATACACCCTGGCCCCCCCTGTCCTTGCCGCCCCCCTTCGAGGCCGACCGGGGGGAGCTGGGCGACCCACGCAGCTCTGCGTCGGGATTCCGCGGGCCCCGAGGGCTGCGGCCGGCGGGCCCCGAGGGCTGCGGCCGGCGGGCAGGACAAGGACGGCCGAAGGCAGACACGCGGTGAACATGCACCCGCGCCAGGCCAGCTCGGGAAGGAACCGGGAAACGACACGACCAACGAAACGCAACCTTGGACTTGCACCAACAAAAAAACGCTGAAAAGTCAGACGCGTTGAAAAGAATCGCAAAGAACACGACGGAAACACTACAAAAAAACAGCGCGAACAACAGAACAGGGGCCAGAACCTAACCAAACAGCGTCGCGCTCGGTCCCCGCAGCTCAGGCCCAGTTTCGGCCAGATCTTGGCGTATGACCTGGCCAGGAATCAATGTGCAACAGGGTCTGGCCTGGAGTGGGCCTGAGCTGACCAGGTGATGGCCCGTGCTTGCCTTCTGTGAAGACGGAGACTCAGGGGGTGGGAATGCTTCACCCTGGCTACGGCAAGTTCGTGTCCTGCCGACTCCGGCGTTGATCTCTGACACTGCGGGGATCGCTCAGCATCGACCGATTCTGGGTCGCTGGCTGCGTTCCTCGTGGAGCGCTGGCAGCGGAGTCGCCGCCCGTCGACTCGACGCCAACCTACCGTAGCACTCGCGAGCAGCCCCTTGGAGATGCACCTGCGCGGCAGTGCATCCCACACCGATCTGCCAACGATCCAGATCCGTCGAAGGCCTTGGAGAACCGGGCTTCAGATAGTGGGACGCCTGGGCACGTCGGTCCCTGGCCTTCCAGGGGGAACATCTACGGAGGAGGAGGAGGAGGAGGAGGGGGAGAAGGAGACGGAGGAGGAGGAGGAGGAGGAGGAGGAAGGAGAAGAGGAGGAGGGATGGGGGGGAGGGGAAAGAGGAGGAGGAGGAGAAGGAGGGGAGGAGGAGGAGGAGGAGAAGAGGAGGAGGAGGAGGAGGAGAAGAAGGAGGAGGAGGAGGGGTGGGGGGGGAGGGGACGGAGGAGGAGGAGGAGAGGAAGGAGGAGGAGGAGGAGAAGGAGGAGGGAGAGGAGGAGGAGGAGGAGGGGTGGGGGAGGAGGGGGAGAAGGAGAAGGAGGAGGAGGTGGAGGAGGAGAGGAGGAGGAGGAGGGGGAGGAGGAGGAGGAGGAGGAGGAGCTCCTCCTGCCTTTGTGGAGGGCGACTATTGGGCGGGCGTCGGCGGAGAACGGCGGGAGGCCCGCACGGATGCCGTCGGGCACGGGCGTCTGGGAAGCCACCTGGGAGGAGTCGCGCCGCGGCTGGTGCGCGTCGTGGCGCACCAGCGCGAACAGCCTCCGGGGGGGGGGGGGGGCGTCGGAGCGGCGACGTCTCGGGCGGTGGGGTCGCAGGGGGGGGTCGACCTGAACAGTGCTCTCCATTTAAGGGGCCCTGGGACACACAAAGAAATACACAAATAACCAGATCCCCCATATGTCCCCATATTTTCCGGGTTTTTGTCTTCCCCACCACTTCCCATATTTTCCCATATTTTCTGGGGAATCGACGATCAATTGTGTCTGTGTGTTTTTGCCCCCTCCTGATCCATGTTCGCTCTGTCTTCGTGCTCTCTCGCTCTCGGTCGTCGTCCCGCCTCTGCTGCACGACGGACTCCAGCCGGAAACGGTCCACGAGATCGCCCGGGCAGCTTTGAGGTCGAGCCCTGTGGGGCCGACGTATACAATCCGCCGTAAGGGCGCGAGGCAAGGACGCGAGACCCCAGGACGTGTCACCCACCTTCTGGAGCCCGGTGGGCGTCAGAGTGAGCTCAAGATGGGCCGACCCAGCCGAGACGCGAGGGCATCCTATGGGGTCGATGTGTATCATCCGCCGTAAAGACGCGAGGCAAGGATGCAAGACCCTCAGACGTCCCACTCACCTTCTGGAGCTCTGTGGGGAGACCGACAGTCCCGACAGTCCTATAGGCCTACCGCGACATGTTCTTGGAACACAAACATGTTCGAAAAACAAGAACAATGTTCTTAGAGCATCCGCCCGATGTGCTGAAACAAGGCAGTCTCAGCCATCCACGTTCTGATAACATCTCGTGCAGACCACAGAAGGCTCTCGGGAACATTCTCTGGCAGGCTTCTGGGCGAGCTGGGACGCCTCGCCACTGCTTCAGGATGTGCCGAATCAGCCGGGGCGCGAGGGCATCTTGCGTGCAGCCGGGGACACCAAACGATACCGGTGCCGCTGCTCCCCATGACCTCTCCCGGGGCGCGTTCTGCACAGGACTCCGAGGCGGCGCCAGCGGCGGCGACGACGGAGGCCCAGGAGGCCCAGGGAGGGGGGAGAGAACGGCAGCAGGGCAGACGGATCGGCGATGGGCCCCCGACCGCGACCCCGCACGCTCCTGGGCGGGTGGGCCATCGGGCCCCTATCGTAGGGCGACGAAATCTATACATATCCACTGCTCCCTGGCCAGGCCCATCCTCAACCCCACAGCGGTGTAAACGCCACGCCCTCCTGGCTTGGCCAGGAGGGCGCATACACAGCTCCTGGGTTCAAGATGGGCATGGTCAGGGAGCAGTGGATATGTATAGATTTCGTCGCCCGATATCGGCGATCAGTGGGAGACGGGTGGTCGATGCCTCCCCGCTGAGACGATCCCCTGCCAATCTTCGGGTCATACATACCTCGGCTCGGTGTGCGGCCGCTCGAGGCGACCCCGGGGGCACCGCCCAAACGCCGGCGGCGAGGCGCAGCTGCTGAGATGAAACGCAGCCCGAGGCTGGAAAGCTGCTGGGGAACAAAGAGCACGAAACAAAAGAAACTCGAACCTCGAATCCGAAACGTTCCCCTCTGGAACCCTGACCCGAGACGAGCCCACCCACCGTTGCCCGGATCCGCGAGCCGCCACCGTGGACTCGGCCCCTGCACCCTGACCCGAAACGAGCCCGCACCGCTGCCCCGGACCCGCGAGCCGCCACCGTGGCCTCAGGTCCACGTGCAGCTTCACGATCCTGCGGCCGCCACCGCCGGCCACGCAGTCCACCTGCCGGCGCCGCGCGCGGCGGGGAGAAGGCGCAGAGGGCGGCGGCGCCGACGGCGGCGACCTCGACGACGCCATCGCCGATGACGACGCCGACGACGATGCCGACGCCAGCGTGTTGTCGTCGGGTGTGCTGTGGTTGCACTGTGTTCTGACTGCCGGGCTGCGCGTGCTCGACCGATCGCGCTGCGCGCAGGCTCCCCCCCCAAGGCCCCGAGGCCGGGCCCCTGCGTCCGACGAGAAACGGGATGCTGCACATCCTCGCCACGCCGGATCGAGGGGGGCCCGCAGTGCCCACCCCGTGGCGCGAGAGGGGTGAGACGGGAGGGGGCCCTGGAGACGGGAGGGGGCCCCCTACAAGCGGATCTGGGGCGAGAATGAACAATACGCAAAAACCTGTTTTTTTTTAATTCTAAAAAATGATCGCAAGATGGTCCCTTTTGTCTGCTTTGGAATTACTCCTCCTGTAAGAGGGACGGGCCCGATTTAGCCCCAGAGGGTCTCGAGGATTTGGCTGAAAGATGTTTCAAAGTGTCCTGTTCGGTTGCGGATTTTCGCAAGTTCTGGCTTAGATATATTTTGAAAATGTTGGGGAGGTTGAGCTTCCTGCTGAAGATTTACCGAAGATTTCGGCTGGTTTTCTCGATGGACCTCCTGTAGTCAAATTGCCGAACCTAACCCCAGAGAGTCTCGAAGTGTCTCTCGACGCCCGTGCCCACGGGGTGTCAATGGGGGGTCTCTGGCTTCTCGCGGGTTCTGCATGCTGCGTGCAGGGCGGCTCTCGGCCCACCCCTCGCTCCGATCGGGCGTTGGCAGAACTGGGTTTCGTGGGACCTGGTTTAGTGATGTGTACCGGGTGTTGCTACAAGTACCCCTGGCCCAAGGTGCCCACAGCTTTTCGCTCCATTTTGGAGCCCCTGGGGCCCTCTGGGCCTCGTGAGGGGTGCTTTGGAAGCCGTTTGGGCTACCCCGAGAGTCCTGGGGGCACCTTGGCCCAGGGGCACTTCTAGCAACACCCGAGGTGTACTGGGGGGCGCCCCCCCCGCCCCGTTCCACTAACCAGAACTGCCGTCACCTGAAAAAAAAACAGCTACGGCAGGACTGGTCCAGTGATTCTGACAAATGTGGGGGCTCCGGGGCCCTACTACTAACCGGGGCCCCTAATCTGGGGTTCTGGCTATACTGAAGGGGCCCTGGGACACACACACACACACACACACACACACACACACAAATACACGCAAATAAAACGATTCCCCATCTTTTCATACATTTTCTGGGTTTTTCTCTTCCCGCCCAATTCCCATCTTTTCCCATATTTTTTGTGGAATCGACGATTCATTGTATCTGCGTGTCTTTTCCCCTCCTGATATCGGGAGCGGCCAAGAGGGGGGTGTCCAAGAGGGGGGGTGCAAATCATGACCGGCGGCATGTGCGCGGCCCAGCGGGGGGACCAGGGACGTAACGAAATCAGAAGAGGCGCCATGAGATCTGGCGAGATATCATGGCCCGCGCCATGATATCCACCCCCCCCTAGTCATCACCCCACCCTCTTTTCCACCCCCTCCTGCTATACCCGCGCCGAGCCCCCCCGCCGAGGAGTCGGCCAGGGCCGCCTGGCCGTCGTACCTCCCGCTGTCGATCAGCGTGGACATCTCGAGCTTGCCCGTCGCCAGCACCTTCGCAGGGGCCCCAGGACACACAAGTAAATACACGCAAATAAACATATGCCCCATATTCTTTCCCATATTTTCTGGGTTTTTGTCTTCCCCACCACTTCCCATATTTTCCCATATTTTCCTGGGAGTCGACGATGAATTGCGTCTGTGTGTTTCTTCCCCTCCTGCACCTTCTTCTTCGACGTCGTCTGCACGAAGAAGTGGATCGAACGCGAGTCCTGCGGAGTCGCCCCCCCCCCCCCCCCCCCGCAGCTCCGGGCTCCACGCGGGAGGCACGCGGAAGGACTGGAGGAGGACACCAGTGCTCAGCGGAGCTGGATGTGCAGCGAGTGAACGAGTGTCATTCGCACCTTTGAAAGCGGTACAGCGGAGGCCAGTCCACAAGAAACCTTCCGCAAGAAACCCAACCCTGAGACCCCAGGACGTCCATTGATTTCTGGTGCGGGGACGCCACGCCTTCCATCGCAAAACCATCGGAAGCCAAGAAACCCAGGGCACCCTGGAGGCAAGCAGGGTGTTTCTCGGCATGGGTCCCCACTGTATCGAGTGCGATCGGGCGCGTGAACGGAAACGCCTGCAAGCGACTATGGAAAGAACACAAGACGCACACCCGATGACCTGTCCCCGAACCCGTGGCAATGGCATAAACGGCAGCTGGAATAAATGGCCGTGGCCCCCCAGAGCGGCGAGCACTCCCTGAAGTCGTTGGGCTGCAGCAACAAACAGATCTTCTGCTGGGCCCGGAAGTTGCACGTGATCCTCCGGATGGCTTTTCTGACGTCCTCGACCTCGCGCTTGGGGGAGGACCGCATTAGCTACGGGTCGGAAACCCGATCGGCTTCACGCTTGCTTGCTCATCCTCACTCGCACCCCCCAGCCTCGTCTTCCAGCTCATCGAATGCATCCTTCCCCAGAGCGCGGAGCGCGCCAGGGGCGGCGCCCGGTCCGCCTCCAGGGGGGCCCACTGCCGCCCCAAAGGACTCCCCGCGGACCTTCAGCATCAGGTCGGGCGTGTCCTCCTACATGCTCAAATATAGTGACACACATGGTTCTTACACTATTCTTTGAATATGCTTGCATATTCCTCCTGAAGAGGGTCATGCCCGACTGAACTCCAGCAGCTAGCGTGTCATGCGCAAATGTGCACCACTCGAGGGCCGGCCGCGGAGAGACAGAGGCCGAGTAGGGCATCGACTACAGAATTGGTTTACCCCCACATTAATCTCGTACTCGGAACCATGAGATTATTAGAATGTTCGTAGGTCTAAACGAAAAATCTAAGCATGACTTGACGAGAGGGTCAATCTTGGGGTAGATCAATTCTGTGATCGATCCCCTACTCGAAGAGTGGGCGGGGGGGAGAGCTCGAAACTCGGTGGTCCGCGGACCGACTGCATCCTGGCATCGCTGCCGGGGGCGTGCAGCTCGCAAGGCCAGGATCCGTCAACATCGAATCGGCGAATCGGATCGACTGGTAATGTGCATTGGATCCAGACCCCCTCGAATCATGGAACAAATCATGACGGTGGGTTTGTCTGCATCGTCGGTCTCTGAGGACCTTCACCGGGCTGCGGGACCGTCAAAAAAACACTCAGGATGAAGAACCGGTCCCGGGGAATGGGCCGAGACCCCTGGGGGTCGACGTCATGAAAGAATCATGACGTCGGGGGTCCAGGGATCGGGCTGCATCCACACGGAATCAACATCGAATCGGATCGGCTGCGCCAGGATGCACAGCATCGCCGCGCAAGCCTCCGGCCGCAACGCATCGTCGGACTGTCTCGGAACCGGATCGCACCGGGCCCGCAGGAGCCGACATCGAGGCAGAGCGATCGCACCGGAGCAGTGGCCGCAGGGGGCGCGCGAGGGAGGCGAGGTGGCGACAGGGGGGGGGGGGAGGCGGCGAGCACGGGAGCGCGAGGTGGCGGCGAGGGGAGGGGGGGGGGAGGGAAGCGAGGTGGCGAGGGGGGAGGGGGGCGAGGGAGCGAGTGGGAGCAGGGGGGCGAGGTGGCGGAGGGGGAGGGAGGGGGGCAGGGGGGCGAGGGAGCGAAGGGGGGCAGGGAGCGAGGGAGGGCAGGGGGGGCGAGGGGGCGAGGCGGCGAGGGGGGGCGGGGGGGAGCGAGCGCGGGGCAGCGCGGCCGCCCCAGGATGCGGCCCGCCGCGCCCCCGCGCGGTCGGCGGGAGCTCGGCGGGCCGCCGCTCGCCGGCGGGCAGCCGCGAGGGCCCCCCTCCCCCGCGCGCCTCTGGCCATCGCTCGGACGTCCATTCCCAGTGCTTTTTTGGGTTTCGTGCGTGGTTTTTTCGCCCAATGATCAAGGGTTCTCCTCGATTCTCGATGGTCCTCGTCGGAGGAAAAATGCGCACGTCCGAGCGATGCCAAGGCCTCTTCGGGGGTCGGAGGCCTCCCACACTGAAGGGGCACAGGGCCACACAGAGAAAGGCACACGACAGATCCTAGGATTCCGCATGTTTTTCCACATGTTCTGGAGTTCCGTCTTGGGTTCTTCCCCGGGTCTGAGCTGCCCATTCTCAACATGTTGCATAGGTTTGTCCCCCACTTTCCATACTCTCCCATACTCTCCTGGGGATCGACGATTGGTCGTGTCTGTATGTTTCTTCCCCTCCTGACACATGAGCGACGATACGGCGACTTCGCGTCGTGCCGACCCCGGCATTGGTTCCTATCGCCGCAAAGATCGTTCGAACTTGAACGATCGGCCGTTCCGTGAACCCCGGATCGTTCAACGACGGGCCGATTCTGGGCCACGGGCGGCGTTCAATCTGACAGCGCTAGGGTCGCCGCCAGTCGGCACGACGCGAACCCGCCGTAGGCCAGAAGAACATCCTTCGAGGACGTGAGACCCTCCGCCAGCCAAGACGCACTGAGCACCCATGGGTACCCTCCCCAGGGTGCGCAGGAGCATGCAACAAGCACGAAGAACATGAAGGCACCCTCCCCGAACCGACCTCGATCTTTCGGCAGTGGACAAACCTCCCTTTAGTAAACCTCCCCTTAGTGAAAACGGCCTGGGACCGAAACCGACGGACCTGGACCCGCAAAAATGACGGCCGCGACGCCCTCTCGCGAGCCGAAAACGGCCAATTCCTTAATCGACGTGTCAGGGTAGGAGGTCTATCCACCTCCGAATAGGTGGCACAGCGAGCTCGCGCGGCGGCTCACGCGGGCTGCCAGCGCGGCCTGCTCTTTTTTGGAAGCGGGGCCACGCACAGGCGACATGGCGCGGGCCGCGTATGCGCTACTGTCGGTGACGACGGCCCCATCTTCTGCGTCGCTCGGATGGGGTCTGAGGACCTCGCCCCCTCCCCGATGTGTCTGAAGGGGCCCTGGGACGCGCAAATAAATGCACACAAATAACAGGATTCCCAATACATTTTCCTATATTTTCTGCGTTTTTATCTTCCCCCCCACTTCCCATATTTTCCCATATTTTCTGGGGAATCGACGATTCATTGTGTCTGTGTGTTTTTTCCCCTCCTGAGTGTCGCCGATGCACCCGCGACTCCGGCGATGCCTCGGCGTGGAGGCAGTCGGAGATTCCACATCGCACCGCACCGCACCACCGATGTGTCGGCGATGCCGTGGGATCCTGCGGCCCCCCTCCGCTCCGACCCCACGCGGGAAGCCTCGACATCACCGGGAGGCAGCTCCTGGGGAGGTCCTTCGCGCGAGCGATGGCACCGGATCGGGGCAGCCGTCGTCGCCATCGGATCGGAAGGACCGGATCGACACGGGCCCTGCACGGTGGTGCACGAACATTCTGTGCAGGCAGGGTGCGGTCGGTCTGTCGACGCCAGACCTGGCCCCACAGGGGACCTCTCCAGGGGCGAAAGCCGTGATCAGGATCGGTCGATGATTGGCCCTCTTCGATGTGCAGTGGTGGAGCACACTTGGCCCTCTTCGAAGTGAAGTGGTGGAACACTTTGTGGGCCCCGGAAACGGCAGGGCCGTTTTTTCACCGTTTCCAAACAAATGTCCATTGAAAATGGAAACGGCAAAAAAAAACGACCGGAAACGGCAACAAAAACGGCTGCAGGATTGGAACCGGAGCCGGAACCGGTCAAAAAACGGCGACGGAACCGGTAAAAAAACGGCGTCGGAACCGGCGTAAAAACGGCAAAACGGAACCGGTAAAAAAACGGTCCTGTCGTTTCCAGGGCCCACTAAGGTGGAGCACACATCAGGAAGCATCACGACTGGGCCGGGCCCTCGGACCCCATCCACCTCCCAGGCGGCCCGACTGCCGACCGAGGACCCCTCCTTAAGGTCCTCTGGCGCCGCAATTCTTTGCTCGTGGTGGGGTCCTGCCGGGGCTCTCGGCCCCTCCGCTGGGGCCTGCTCGAGGAGGAGGAGGAGGAGAAGGAGGAGGAGGAGGACGAGGGGGAGGAGGAGGAGGAGGAGGAGGAGGAGGAGGAGGAGGAGGAGGAGGAGGAGGAGGAGGAGGAGGAGGAGGAGGAGGAGGAGGAGGAGGAGGAGGAGTTGGAGGAGGAGGAGTTGGAGGAGAACGAGGAGGAGGAGAGGAGGAGGAGGAGGAGGAGGACTTTCGTCCCGAGTCGTTCGTTCCCGGCGGCCCCGAGCAGCAGGACCGAGCTCTTTCCGAGCGCCCAATGGGGACGAGGAAGCGGCTTCCCGAGCGCACAACGGTCGACGGCAAGGGGGGCTCCGTAAAAAGGGGAGGTTCGCGGAGCAACTCGCGTACGTAGCTGGGCTGTGCTTCCCGACACTCTTCCCGGCACTGGGAGACGCCAGAGCGAGTCGAGAATATGATATCGAAAGGGCCCAGGGACACACACACACACACAAAGACACACACACAGAAATCCCAGGAGACCCCCCACACTTTCCCATACTTTCTGGTATTTCGTCTTCCCACCCACCTCGCATATTCCAAATCCCTCATCAATCGTCCCCTGGGTTCATTTTTTTAAGGCGCCCTTTTTTGTAACTGGGGGTGGCCCGGTTTATCAGGGCGCGTTCTTTGGATTGGAACTCATGGGGTCCGGTTTATTAACGCGCCCCGTCGAAGAGGGGGATTATCGGGTCGCATTTGGAGGGGGGTCCGGTCTTGTAGGGGGGCCGATTCATAAAGGATTTGGGGTATTTTCCCATATTCTCATGGGGGTCGCCGACCAATTGTGCCTGTGCTGGGAATCTCCTGACCCGGGTCAATCCAGACCCGGGTCAGCAAGAAACCAAAAAAATGCCACGCAGGGAAACAAATCTGCAACGCAGGTCTTCGCAAACCCGGGTCGGCCCATATGCGCGGCCGCCTCGCGACTCGCTAACCCGTGTCAGCCAGAAGCCGTGAGCGGCCAAGAGAGGGGTGTCCAAGAGGGGGGGGTGCACATCATGGCCGGCGGCATGTGCGCGGCCCAGGTTGGGAGCCAGGGACGTAATGAACTAAGAAGAGGCGCCATGAAATCTGGGGAAAATCATGCCCCCCGCCATGATATCCACCCCCCCTAATCATCACCCCCCTCTTTTCAACCCCCGAAGAAGGGATCTTCGCAGGATCAGGAGCCGGTGCCCTGGCCGACCCCCGTTGGCACTGACCCCCGGCTCTTGGGCCCCGGCTGGAGCCTTTCCCGACGCTTCCCGGCGCCGGGAGGCGCCGGCGCCTCGGGGAGGCGGTGAAGAGAGGCGCGCCTCGCGGCCGCCGCGAGCTCGGCCACGGCGCCCGAGTCGGGCCTGTCCCCCTACAGAAGGAATATTCAAACCTAGTCATAACATAGTCTGGAGTTTACACACACACATATATATATATATATATATATTCATATATATATACACATACATGGGTTGTTATTTTTGTTGTTTCAGAACAGTGTGTATGTATATAGATATACATACACGTATTCTTCACCTTCCTCTAAAATGCACCTGTAGGGGGACGTGCCCAACCTAACACGACGCCCGAGATCAGACGGGGCGCTGGGGCCCGCGACGTTCTCGTCCAGCAGCTCGGCGACCTCCTCCGCGGTGGAGCCCCGGGTGGCGAGGAACTCCACGGCCTTGAAGGTCTTCCTGCTGAGCGTTCCCTCCGACCCCTGGGGGGCGCGGGCCGGGCGTGGGTCGGACGGGGAGGCCGCCGGGAGGGGGGGGGGGCTCGGGGACAGAGTGGGGCGCAGAAGGCCGCACTGGCGGCGCACGTCCGGACCGAACATACAACACGAACACCTTCTCACACCAATCCAGCAAGTATTCGGGCGATGAGGAAGTTCGGGGGGGGAGGAGCCAACATCTTCCTCAGTCGATATCACAATCGATCTCACTAGCAATGTCACCATCGTCCTCACTATCTTTCTCACTGTCGATATCACGATTGATCCCACTATCGAACCCACGATCGGTCTCGCTATCGATCTCGCAATCGATGCTACTGTCGATCCCACGATTGGTCTCACAATCCATTTCACTATCGACATCACTATCGATCTCACTACCGATCTCACGACCGATCTCCTTATCAATCCCACGATCGATTTCACTATCGATTATCATATCGGTATCGCTATCGATGTCACTATCGTTCTCACTATCCCTCTCACTATCCATCTCAAGCTCGATATTTCAAGCGATTTCATTATCGATCTCAGTATCGATCTCACAATCGATCTCACCATTGGTTTCAATATCAATATCACTGTCGATCGCACTATCAATCTCACTATCGATCACGCTGTCAACCTCACTATCGATCTCAGTATCGGACTCACTATCGATCTCACTATTGATCTCACCACGGAACACCGATGGGACTCCGACGGGACACCCCGGCGGGACACCCCCAGTCACCGCCGCCCAACCCAAGGGGGGAGGTCGTTTGGCCTGGCGGCGCCGTCCACAGGACGGTTTGTTCCTCTTGCCCGCCCACGCATCTTCGCCTCGCCCGCACGCACAGCGCGAGCACGAAGCCGAAATCGATTTCGAGGCGTGGACTCTCCGTTGCACTGCGATCTCACGCCCTCGCATCCGATGTCGTTAGCCATGCGGTATGGCCACCAAGCGTCAGCCATGTCGCTTACACTAACAATTAGATGTCGAAGAGCGCGCTTGGCCCCAGTTGGGTCGACACAAACATGATAAACATGTGTCTGGGGTGATACCGATGTCGTTAAATGTTGGCCAGCGCGGACCTCAAACTCTTTGTTTCTAGCAATCGATGTTCTGCCATCTATGAAGACAATATATGTGATGCAAAGTGTGTGCTTCAAACTGTATAGTGCAATCGATGCAGTGCAATCTATGATGTCCAACATACGTGGTGCAATGTATGTGGTGCCATCCATGTGGTACAATATATCTCATGCAGTCTATGTGATGCAGTCGATCTGGTGCATGTTGTACCATGTATGTGATGCAACGCATGTGAAGCGAAATATGCGGTTCGCAACGCATGTGAAACAATCGACGTGGTGCAATATACGTGGTGCAACATATGATGGGCAATCTGTGTGGTGAAACCTATGTGGCGCAAATCTATGTGGTGCAGTATATGTTGTGCACTATGTGTTATGGAGTCTAAGCGGTGCAAACGATGGTGTGCATTCCATGTGGTGCAAGCTATATTGTGCAATCCATGACGTGCATTCTATGCTATGTGGTGCAACATGTGTGGTGCACTTACTGTGGTGCAATCCACGTTGGGCAATCTATGCTGTGCAATCTATGTGGCACAGTCTATGTGGTGCAGTCTTTGTGGTGCAATCTATCTGGTGCTGTCGATGTGCGGCGACAGGGCGGCGACGGCCACAGCACATCCGCCAGACCGCCATCCAGGCACAGGCGACGGACGGCGACGAGGCGGCGACGGGGAGGCGACGGGGCGGCGGCGGCGACAACACAGCCATCAAGACTGCCATAAAACATGACTAGGATCAGGATAAATCGCTCCAGAGCGTTCCGGAGCGCTCTCAGAGCGTTCCGGAACGCTCTGGAGCGGCCGCGGCGCCCAATACATCCTCCAAACCCGCCGATTCTCAGAGATTTCGAGTTATCCCGATCCGAGTTTGTCCCGATCTTCGCGTCGTTTTATGCCACCCAAGCCCAGTTCTCTAGACCACAAGCAAGCGACCCTAGATGCAAACACTGCTGGGGAAAAACACGACCTGGAACGAGACCACCCCGCGAGCGCAGTCCCGCAAACGGGGGCCCCCTCGAGAACTGCAAGAAGGGCACTGCGCTGATCGACTGGACAGGGTGGGCGCTCTATGCGGTCAGGAGCTCCTGCTTGGCGTGCCGCGGCGGCGGCGGCGGCCCAGGCGACACGCCATGCCTTGCGAGCGGATGGCGTGTCGCTCCGCTCCGCGGGGCGGGCGGCTGGACATTGCCGCCTGGGGTCTGGGACGTGGCCGGTGTGGCGCGCCGAAGCGTGGCGGGCCCGGGCCGGCGGCGCGACACGCTGAGCCGGCGTGCCCGACCGCATCGACCTCCAAGTGGCGAGTAGGGACCGGGCGCGGGAGGGGCGGCCGCCCGGCGGGGCTGGAGGTAATTAGGGTCTCGAGGGAGAAGCAAAAAGCGCGCGCGCTCGCGCGCGCACACACAAACAAACACACACACACACACACGCACACACACACACACACACGCACACACACACACGCACACACACACACACACACGCACACACACAACACACACACGCACGCACACACACACACACGCACACACACGCAAACTTTCGAAGGTCCGCGCGGATCTCTTGGATCCGAGCTGAGCCTGGGGCAACGCCAGAGGCGCCGCCAGGGGGGGGCCCAGCGCCGATCCAAGGCATCCGCGCGGACCGTCGAAAATTGGTGCTAATGTTAGGTCGGGCGTGTCCCTCTACAGGCGGCTTTTGGACGGAAAATTGAAGATACCCCCCAAATACCAAACAAATATTGAAAGATTGTCCAAAAATCGTCCCCAGACTAATTTTTGACTATTTTTGAATATCCCTCCTGTAGAGGGACAGGCCCGACTTAATGCTAATGCAATGGTGCTTCCTCGATGGACTGGAGGAGGGCCCGATGTCCGGGCGCCGCCCTGCTCTTTTCGCAGCGGGCTCTCGGGCTCGATCCCCAGGACAGGTGGGCTCAAGGGCCCTGGCCGTGCTTTCTCGCTCGCGACATTATGTCTCTTTGATGGGCCTCTTTTCCACCACCACCACCAGAAGTTGGAGGAGGAGGGGGGGCTCCTCCTCCTCCTCCTCCTCCTCCTCCTCCTCCTCCACTTCCTTCCTCCCCTCCAACTCATGGTGGTGGTGGTGGTGGTGGAAAACAGGCCCATCATTCTTATCCGCGGCATCGGGTCTCAGGGGAGGAGAGGGGCTCCAAGCGCGAGCGTGCGCGCCCCGCTTGGCTCCCGCCCAGGGCAAAAGGTATCAGCGGACGCTGGCGACTGATGCGCCCCAGGGGACGCGGCTGCATGTCCTGCGTGCATCGTCGCAGTCGGTGGGTGGGCAAAAGGGGGCGGCAAGATCAGGCAGCACCGAATCGGGAGACGGGATCGACTCCCAGCGTGCGTCGGACCCGGCCGCAGCGCCAGGGCGTCGGAGTCGACTCGCATCGGCCGTTCCGGGATGCACGGCAGTGCCATGCGAGCATCGGACCATGGCGGATCGCCGGACTGCCCTGGGAGGAAGAACAGGGGTGTCCCGAAGACCACGGGTCCCAGGCCCTGAGGGCATGCAGCCCGAAACCTTGCTTTTGACGGTCCGAGGGCCGGATAGGGGCCCCGGGAGTCCGAGAACGGTGAAACAAGAACTCCAGGACTCGTTTACAGTGGAGGTCCGAGAAGAAACCTTCCACAAGAAACCCAACCCTGAGATCCCAAGACGTCCGTCGATTCCTGGTGTGGGCACGTCACGCTTCCCATCGCAAAACCATCGGGACCCAAGAAACCTGGGGCACCCTGGAGGCGAGCAGAGTGTTTCTTGGCCATGGGCCCCCGCTGTACCGCAGGGTCTCGTGCAACCGGGGCAATCTGGCATGCGCCTGGCCAGGTCCAAGCCTCGGTGCGGGAAAGCCGTGCAACGGAGGATTCAGCAGAACCCCCGCGCCACGAGGCGACTCGACAACGCTGACCCGAGAGACACCCGAGGCAAACTTGGCCGACAAACTGGAGGCTCGAAACAGGAGCCATCCCTGACCACGCCCTGCCCCGATCACTCGGGTTCCCGAGGACCGCCCCTGCTTCCTGGCGAACATCTCGGGATCGGATCGGATTCTAGGCTTCAGTCGGGCCTGTCCCCCTACAGGGGGATTTTCGACGAGAAATGAAAAATAGTTACCCCCCCAAAAAAATCAAAAAAAAGTCCAAAAATAGTCTGGGGATTATTTTTTGAATATTTTCTGACCTTCTTGGGGCATGTTTGGGGTATTCTTTATTTTTCGTTGAAAACCCCCCTGTATGGGGGACACGCCCGACATATTTCTAGGCGACCAAAAACGACGTTGTCTCAAACCGATCGCATCGAAGTGGGCCCCTCGACCCCGCGGGCCCATGTCGATCCGGTGCCCGGAAGCGAGCGCTGGAGCCTCGTCCGGCGCCCTGCAGCGCTGTAGCGACGCGGCCTCGCCGAAGGCGACCTTCACGTCCACCTCGCCACATGGGGACGGCCACTTCTGTAGGGAGCCCACGAAGGACGTACGCGCCCAACTATGTACATGAGCACAGCCCCTCGATCCGCGAGACCGGTCGCGTTATACGAACATTTGCGCAATGCGTACTCTCGAAACCAGCGTGGATTCATGTACGTGTACGTCCTTTTGTCGCTCCTGATTCTGGCTATTACCATAAAGTAGAAGAATGAGCACACAACCGCAAACTGATGAAGCCCGCGCAAATCCATGGGATCGGCGCTGGATCCTCGTCCTGGCGCAGAAAACGGGAGGCGTCGCCAGGGGGTCATGGCGCCGACGCAGGAGGTCTGCACCCTCCAGCGTCACACGCTGGAGAGATGGAGAGCGACACTGCAGATCCCATTCTCCCATCCAACGCGTGAAGCACGGACGACGGCAACAACTGACAAGACACACGCGCGAACCCCTTCCCCTCAAAACCCCCCTCCCCCCCCACAGCCTCCTCTCCACCCACACAACAAGCACACATAACACACAACGCTCACAACACACAGCACACACAAATCATAACACACACACACGCACACACGCACACGCACACACACACACACAAACACAAACACACGCACACACACGCGCGCACACAAACAAACGATCACGCACACTCGCACACACACAGACACACACACACACACGCGTGCACGCACGCACGCGCACGCGCACGCGCACGCGCACGCGCACGCGCACGCACACGCACACACGCACACGCACACGCACATGCACACGCACACACACGCACGCACGCACGCACGCACATTTCACATTCACATTCGCACCCCACATACACATACACATCCACACACACACGCACGCACGCACGCACGCACGCACGCACGCACGCACACACGCACGCACGCACGCACGCACGCACGCACACGCACACACGCACACACACACACACACACGCACACACGCACGACACACACTCATTCACACTTTCACACACACACACACACGCACACAACGCACACGCACACACGCACACACGCACACACGCACTTTCACACACACACACACCACACACACACACACGCACACACACACACACACACCGCACACACACACACACACACGCACACGCACACGCACACGCACACGCTCGCACACACACACACACACACACACACACACACACGCATTCACACCCACATTCACATCCACTTCCACACATGCACGCGCCTCGTCTCTCCTGAGCACTGGTGTATGAGCGGCCGGCTGCAGGCCTCCCAAGCGCCTCGCCGGCGGCGACGCCCGCAGGCGCCAGTTCTGGACCACGCCGCTCTGTCGGCGCCGCCCGCGCGCCCTTTGCCCTGCCCGCGGCTGGGGGGGCGCGCCAAGCCGCGGGGCCGGGTCCTGCGAGACTGGGGGGGGCCCGCTGCGCGCCGCGCGGCATCGGTTGTTTCAAGCCTTCCTGCGGCAGGAATCACGCGGCTGGCCGCGCGGCCCGCCGTGGCCTGAGCCAGCGCAGTGCCCGCGATGGGCGCGTCGACCGCGCGGCGCGCTACTTGTGCTTCACGGACCAATCCTTTGCAAGGCAAGCTTTTACAACGAACAAAATGACGCTGCGGAAAGAATCCGTGCACCTATTCTAATCCCTGTGTAACCACCCCGCATGCACGTGGAATCGCGACGTCCGCGCGTGCAATGTCAATGCGTTTCCATGCTGCCATCCAACGCACCATTGCTTGAAGCTCGGCCCCGTGCGTTCGCGGAACCTTGGCTGGCGGCCCGTCAAGGTCTGGCCTCAGATCTGAAAGTGCCGCCGCGGGGGCTCGCCCGACGCGGGTTTCCGCAGGAGCGCCACTAGGCTCTGCCAGTTGCCGTCGTCGTTCTTCTCGGAGCATTTCGCGTAGAGCGCATCAGTTCACCAGTTGCGAAGCCGGCGACGGTGCGCAGTGAATTCGGACAGCGCCGCCCCGTTTGCACATTGGGAGCAGCTCTCCACGCTGACCTCTCCGCCCACCTGAACCATTGCGCTCTTCATCGCCAGACTCGGAGTTGGCGGCGCGCCCGCGACAATTGTGGGCCGCATGAGTGACTGCCGCGCGCAGGTCGGGCAGTTCCTGCCCTCGGGCGGGACTGGGAGCCGAGGGCGCATGGGAGCCGAGCCGGCTCGAACCCAGGCGTTTGCAGCACTGGGTGGGACGCGAACCCTCGCCCGCGCATCCCCCCGCCCCGCGCGCAGCCCTCTGACGCCATGGAAACCCCGTACCTGCGGCGCCCCACAAGCGTGGACTGGATGCTGGGGAATGGGTCGGGAGCTCCCACCTGCGCCCCCCCCCAATTGGCGCCCCCCTGCGACGTCGAGGAAGCGACGCGCCGACCGCGCTATGCGATCCCGAAAACGGACAAGGGAACCACCCCCACTAAACCCCTCTGCGACGTCGAGGAAGCGCCGCGCTTGCCACGCTTTGCGAGCCCGAAGCGGACGGGGAGACCACCGCCAGCGTACCCCCTGCGGCGTCGATACAGTGCCACGCCTGCTGCGCTCTGCAAGCCCGACGTTGACAAGGGGGCCATCCCCAGCGCGCCCCTGAACACCCTCATCGCACCTTTTGCTGTGTCCAAGAGGTGCCACTCCTGTCGCGCTCTGCAGCCCGAAACAGATAAGGGGGACCACCCCAAGTCGCACCTCCTGCGGCGTCCAGGACGTGCCACTCATGCTACGCTTTGACAGGGTGCCGAAAAAGATGCCCGCCTGCCACGCCATGTCAGCCTGAAACGGATAGAGGGGGCCACCCCAATCCCCCCCTGTGGCGTCGAGGAAGCGCCGCGCCCGCCACGCTTTGCGACCTCGAGGAGGATAATGGGCCAGCGCACCCCCTGTGGTGCCGAGGATATTCCTCGCCTGCAAATTCGCGCGAGCCTGAAACAGGTACGGGAACCACCCACAACGCACCCCAATGTGGTGTCCAGGACGTGCCACTCATACTACGCTTTGGGACCCCGATCGCACCCCGTCTCGCACCCAGGAAGTGCCACTCCTGGTACGCTTTGTGAGCCTGCAACGGATAAGGGGGACCCCCCCAAGCGCGCCCCCTGTGACGTCCAGGAAGTGCCACGCCTACCACGCTTTGCGAGCCCGAAGCGAATTGGGGGACAAACGCCCAGCGCATCCCCTGCGGTGCCGGAGAAATGCCAGACCTGCCACGCACTGCGGAACTAAATCGAACAAGGGGACCTCCCCCATCGCACCCCCTGTGGTGCCCAGGAAATTCTGTTCCTGCCACTCTTTTGTGAGCCCGAAGCGGATGGCCACCCGCATCGCGCCCCCTGTGTTGTCGAGGAAGTGCCATGCCTGCTATGTCGGTGACGTCCTGCGATTCCTACGAGTATGTGTTGTCCGGTGCGCGTGTCATGTGGGACGATTCGGTCTGAGTCTGTGTCCTGTGCATGTGTATGAGGTGTGCGTGTCTCTCTGTGTGTGCGCGTGTGTGTGTGCGCGTGTGTGTGTGTGTGTGGGTGTGGGTGTGGGTGTGGGTGGGTGGGTGGGTGGGTGGATGGGTGGGTGGGTGGGTGGGGGGGGGGGGGCGGCTGCATGTGGCCGCGCGTCTCATGTCAACGCCACGCATGTGTTGAGTGCGTCTGGCAGGAAACGCGGGTGCGACGCGGGCGGGGTGCAGGCGGGAGGCGGACAGGGAAGGAGGTGAGGGAAGGGCGCGCGCGAGAAGTGCGACGCGGGCGTGGGGAGAACCAGAAGCCCACTAAACGTGTGGGGGACAGTGTGCGCTGGCGCCAGGCTTCCCCTACCCTGCGCCGCAGGCAGGCGGTCCCACCCGGGCACTGTAGGGCGCGCGCAGGGGCTGTACAACGCAGGCCCCCCAGGGCTCCCCACGGGGGCGCACCCAGGGCCCACGCAAGCCCCGAGGGGCCCTGCCAGCACGTTTGGCCGCCTCCTCCTCCTCCTCCTCCTCCTCCTCCTCCTCCTCCTCCTCCTCCTGCGTTCCCAGACTTCGCCCCTGCAGGGCCAACGGAGGCTCCATCAGAGGCCTCTTCCGGGGGTGCCGCCAGGGGGCGCGACACACCTTCGGGCCTCGGCACCGTGCTGGCAGCCCCGGCGGCGGGCCTCGCCCACCAACATGCGCGGCGACATCGCACCCCGCCGCGCAAATCTCGGGCGCGAGCCTCACCGAGGCGATACAGTCGGGGCGTTGACCTATGGAACGAAAAATAAGGAACGAGGCCCCTTTAACCCACACGTGAAACTCAGATTTTCCATGGAAACCTGATGCAAACCCAAAGAACACTGTAAAGCAACTAAGGAACACGGAGCCCCTCCCCAACGAAAAGGGTTCCTTCTTCAGGGCCCCGACTGTATGCCAAGCCCGGGTGCGGTGCCTCGCGAAGGACGCTGGCTGCAGGCGTGTGCCGGGAGACGACCCTGCCACCTTGGCAAAGGCAGGGGCTCTGACCTTTCGTACCGCGGGCGGGAGTTGACGAGGTACCGCGCACGCCCAATCATTCCCCAAGGGCCAGAGCTGGGGTCTTTTCCCCGTCTACCATCAACGCTGTCGACGAGGCTGTAATGGATCCGCTGAACACCCCTCTCGGCGCACACCTCATGACCGCCCTCGACGAATGGAATGCCCATCGTGACCACCGGCGCCGGACCGGCATCGGGCGTTGCCGAGGGCGCCGAAGCCGACGCCGTTCAAGGCGCCGCCCCTGGTCCTGGCGTGGGGCATCAGTCTCTCAGCCAGGGTCCCCGTCTGGCCCCAGTGGGGCCCTTTCCCAAGGCCGTGGCGCCACAGCCCCACGGGGCTAATGTGCTCGGGCGGCGCAGCCAAAGGGATCCCGCTCGACGCCTCCACGCGCGCGTGCGCGTGCGCCCCCCCTCCCCCACCCCACCCCGTGGGGGGCCGGCACCCCACAGGGCGGACCACGGATGTTCGGGTCGGGTCCAGCCAGGCGGCTCCCCACCGCGCGCCCGCGGCAAGCCCGAGTGGGAGGCGGGCCTCTACTGCAGGGTCGCCGCGGAAGGTGGGGGGCGCGGCCCCACACCGTTCTGGGCCACTTGAGCCCCAACAGCTGCGAAGAAACCACCGCGTTACTCGTTGCTCTCCCGCCATACTCCTGTACGCTGGGCTGCACATTCATCATCTGCCTTCCTGCCTCCCCCTCCTTCCTCCCTCTCATCCTCCTCCTTCTCCGACTACTCTTCCTCCTTGTCCTTCTCCTCCTGCCACTCCCTCCTTCTCCTCTTCCTCCTCTGCCTCCGTTCCTTTTCCGCATGCATAACTTGTCCCTGTCGCACCCCGAAGCATTTTTTACGGCGGGCCGGGCGTTTCGCTTGAGACCTTTTTCACCATTTATGAGTCTGAAGCTTAAGAATTGGCAACAGCTTCACAGATGGAGGGCGGGTGGTTTTCAAAGTGTGGCTCTCGCCCCAGCGCAGCGCACAGTCGTTTTAACAAAATGCAGTACCTTCTCGGATTGAGGGCGGGTGGTTTTCAGAATTTGGCTCTCGCCTTGGCGCGGCGCATATTCGTTCAACAGATTCGCAATCGTTTCACGGATTGAGGGCGGCCCCCTTCCAAAATGTGGCTCTCGCCTGAGCACGGCGCATGCGTTTTAACAAATTGCAAGAACTTCACGGATTGAGGGCGGGCCATGTTCAAACTGTGGCTCTCGCCTGAGCGCGACGCACATTCGCTTTAAACACTTGCAACAAGAGCTTCATGGATTGAGGGCGGGTGGTTTTCAAAACGTGACTCTCGCCTATCGCGGGGCACTTTTTTAAACAGTTTGCAAGAGCTTCACGGATTGACAGCGGCTCCTTTTCAAAATGTGGCTCTCGCCTTGGTTTGCGCGCATTTGTTATAGCAGTTTGCAAGCGCTTCACGGATTGAGGGCGGTTCCTTTTCAACATGTGGCTCTCGTTTTAGCGCCGCGCACATTCGTTTTAAACACCCGAAAGAATTTCACATATTCCCATCATCAACGTGCCAGAAATGACGTGTTGACCGGATTCAGGATTGCGTGGGCGCAAAAGTTACGTTGTTTCGCTGTGTTGAAGTCCCAGGAATGGCGTTCAAGCACGATTCTGGATCGTCAACACGCAACAGAGGTTGATCCGTCGCGTTGGAATCCCGAGAATAACTAATGTTCTAGCATGCTGCAAGGTCTTCAAATGGTTGTCCCCCAACAAGGCAATTCCCTCAATGGCAATGAACCATTGTAGGAGCTTATGTACAGGAAGCTTGGAAGGAGGGTTTATTCCATTATCGTTGATGCCTCTTGGGTTTACACTTGTCCTCCTCCTTCTCCTCTTCCTCACCATCCTCCTCATCTTCCTCCTCCGCCTCCTCACCCTCCTCCCACCTCCGACCCTTCCTTTTTTTATATCATCCCGCCACTGGCCCTCCCCATCCCTCCCTCCCTGTCTCCCTCCTCCTCCTCATCCTCCTCCTCCGTACTCATCATCCTCTCCTCTTGCCTCTTGCCCAACTCGGGGAACTGGTCAACTGGGGTACCAATCATAACAAATCAACGGAACTGGGCCACCTCAATCCTCGAGTGTCACATCAGGAACCATGGGCGCCGTCTAGAACCTGAGGCCGTTTGAGATCGGGCGAAGCTTGCCTGCATTCAGCGCCCTCCCAACCCGTCTCGCAGAAATGAAGAAAGCCTCTATACATGATCTCCCCCATCCGTATGAAAACAAGCAATGCAGAACCAAGGGATTCGTGGCCTCTGGCCAACAGAGTGTGCGGTCGAGGCTACCGGCTCAACCAACTGGGCATCACTCGCCTGGCGTGAACACGCAAGGGGGAATGTGGCTTCGTCATGTCCCCCTCCTCTCCCATCTCCTCCTCCTGCTCCTCCTCTCTCTTTTGCCCTTCTCCTCCTCCTCCTCCTCCTCCTCCTCCTCCTCCTCCTCCTCCTCCTTCGCCTCCTCCTCCTCCTCCTCCTCCGCCTCCTCCTCCTCCTCCTCCTCCTCCTCCTCCTCCTCCCTCTCCTCCTCCTCCCCCTCCTGCCCCCCCCCCCCCCCCCCCAGCGAGGAGGGGGCGGCACCGGGCCTCCGACGGCTTCCCCACCTCTTCTGGCATCTGGCCCCCGTACAGCGTGCACACAAGCAGGGCCACCGAGTTCGCCGTCTGCCCCGCGGCCCGCTGCCCCGCGCCCTCCTCGGCCGCCGGGGAGGGGGATCCTCTGCTGGATGCTTTCTTCCGCCTCCTCCTCCTCCTCCTCCTCGCGTTTCTCTTGTTCCTCCTCCTCCTCCTCCTCCTCCTCCTCGCGTTCCTCGTGTTCCTCCTGTTCCTCTTCCTCCTCCTCCTCCTCCGCCTCCTCCGCCTCCTTTTCCTCCTCCTCCTCCTCCTTCTCCTCTGGCTCCCGTGCCAGACGGGAGGAGGATGGGAAGGAGGAGGGAGAGGAATGATGAGGATGGGGAGGGATGCTGAGGATGGGTGGAAGGATTGAAAAAGAAAGGGGGGAGTGGGAGCTTGAGCATGACTAAGCGACAATGTTTACTACGACAGGCCCCCTGTCGCATGTCGGGAAGCCGAGCGGTGCGAGGTCATGTACTTCAACGCGGGAAGCGGAACTTCGCGCACGCCATGAACATGCCTAACTAGCTGTGCTGCGGATGACGACCAGGTGGAGGATGAGGAGAACGGGAAGAGGGGGAGGAGGGGGGGCACCAGGAAGGGGGGAACGGGAAGGACGAGAAGAAATGAGAGGGTGCGCGATCCACCGTCGGCTGACTTGACACCCCCCCGTGCAGGGAGACAGCGGGAGAGGGGGAGCTCCCCACTTGCCCGGGAACCGGGCGAAAGGGGGAGAACACCCCGTCCCCGGCGGAAGCCAGGGGGGGAGGCGCGGCTCAAACCGGGGTGGATCCAACTGTAACCGCTCCAGTCTGAGCCCCCCGCCCCCTCAGGTCTGAACCGGGGGGGGGAGGAACTCTCCCCCTCCCCTGGCCCTCGAACCTGGGGGGAGGGGGAAACCATCCCCTCCCCGGCGGAAGCCGAGGGGGGGGGGGCGGTTCGAACAGCGTCTGGGGGGGGGGCTCGAGACGGCTTCTAGTCGAATCTTGCCAAAGGGCTGAATACAGCTCCAAGCTCAAATGCAATCCTACTAGGGCTCGATCCAGCTGCCATAGAGTCCTACAAGGGCTGTGAGTCCAGCTCGATCCAGGTTCTAACGGAGTCCTAGAAAGGCTGAGTCCTACAAAGGCTGAGTCCTAGATTCACACTACTGCTCGATTCAGCTCTAGTGGAGTCCTGTAGAGAATCCGAATCAGCTCTACTCGAACCCTGCTACTAAAGCCGGATCCATTTCTAACAAGTTCCTACGAGGGCTCGGTCGAGCTTTCATCGAATTCTACAAAACTAGATCCCGGTCTAATGATATTCACTTCGGTGTGGGTCAAATTCTGATGGAAACCAGAAAAGCTCGACCCAGCTTGAACCGAATCCTGCCACTACGGCTGGATCCAGCTCTCACAGAAACCGACTAGGGCTCGATCCGATCTTAATTGAAAGCTACTCTGGAGAGGATCCAGCTCTCTCTCTCTCTCTCTCTCTCTCTCTCTCTCTCTATATATATATATAATGTATATAGCCACTCCTGTGCCCCATTCACCTCCAATAAAATCCGACTATGGTCTGGATGCAGCTCGAACAGAACCGCATTAGGGCTCGACCCAGCCTTACTCAAACCCTACTAGGGCTGGCTGGATCCAGCTGTAAGTCGCCCATCCCTCCCCCCCCCCCCCGGTCTGAAAGGGGGGGCCGGGGGGGAAATCTCCCCTCCTTTGGCCCCGGAGCCGGGGAAAGGGGGGAGACCACCCCCTCCCCGGCGGAAGCGGGGGGGGGAGAAGCCGCTGTTCGAGCCGGGGTGGTTGGGGGGCTGGAACCGGCTGGACCTAGTCAAATCCTGTCCCCGGGGCTGGATCCACCTCGAAGCTCTCATACAATCCTACTAGGGCTCGATCAGGCTCTCCCAGAATCCTACAAGGGCTGATTCCAGCACTACTAGAACCATACTGGGGCTCGATCCAGCTCTAGTTCCACAAAAGGCCCGAGGGAGGAGGAGGAGGAGGAGGAGGAGGAGGAGTTTTTAAACCCGCGTGTTCCCGCCCGCGAGTGGGCGCCCCTGGTCTCGTCACTCCGCGCAGGCCGAAAGGCCCGAGGCGGGGTGGGCCAGCGGCCTCATCTCACGGCGTCTTACTGCCGCCACTCTGTGACTCATGGAGTCGCCCCGTGAGCAGCGGCAGTCTGAAGAATGCTGCCGCCGCCCACTCAGAGCTTGAGGAGCAGCCTGATGGACGGCCGCAGCCGCTCCTCCGCTCTGCGCTCTTCCAGGGACCGCCCTGGCTGCTGGTCCCTGGACTCATGGGCCTTCTCGATCGCCCTGCCTGGCGCAGAGCTGTGGCCTAACCCCTCGCCACGCCGGGGCGCGTTGCGGCCTAACCCCTCGCCGCGCAGGGGTCCTCCGTGGCCTAACCCCTCGCCGCGCTGGGGGTCGGTGCGGTCTAACCCCTCACCGCGCTGGGGATACTCGTGGCCTAACCCCTCGCCACGCTGGGGGCTGCTGCGGTCTAACCCCTCACCGCGCTGGGGCGCTCCGTGGCCTAACCCCTCGCCACGCGGGGGCCTATTGCGGTCTAACCCCTCACCGCGCTGGGGTGCTCCGTGGTGGCCTAACCCCATCGCCAAGCTGGGGTCTGTTGCGGTCTAACCCCTCACCGCGCTGGGGCCCATCGTGGCTTGACCCCTCGCCACACTGGGGGTCAATGCGGTCTAACCCCTCACCGCGCTGGGGAATGTCGTGGCCTAGCCCCTCGCCACGCTGGGGGCTGCTGCGGTCTAACCCCTCACCGCGCTGGGGTGCTTCGTGGCCTAACCCCTCGCCACGCAGGGGCCTGTTGCGGTCTAACCCCTCACCGCGCTGGGGTCCCTTGTAGCCTAACCCCTCGCCACGCGGGGGCCTGCTGCTGTCTGTCCCCTCTCCACTGCGGGGTCCTCCGTGGCCTAACCCCTCGCCACGCTGGGGATCGTTGCGGTCTAACCCCTCACCGCGCTGGGGTACTCCGTGGCCTAGCCCCTCGCCACGCTGGGGCCTGCTGCGGTCTAACCCCTCACCGCGCGGGGGTACGCCGCGTCTTGCACTGTCCCCATCCTCGGTGCTGCTGCCCCCTGGCTCGGGCGGGGTCCCGCGACTTTGCCACTCGCTGTGTTCGCGGTTCACGTGGTATCCGCGGGCCGTGCCCTCCCCCTCGCGTTCAGACTGTCGGTTTCCCAGGGTTTGGGTCCGCTCTGTTAGTTGCGAGGTCCTGTCTACCACACTGTTGGTCAAAAGGTCCGCGTTATGCTCATTGGGCACGTCATAGGCTTCCGCCTCAAGCCTCTGCTTGCCTTTGGTCCTGCGGCCTGCCCCCTCATCGCGCAGGGGATTTCCGTGGCCTAACCCCATCGCCACGCAGGGGTGCCTTGCGGTCTACCCCCTCACCGCGCTGGGGTGGGTCGCCGACGATCTTATTCAAGTCCCGCTGCAGGTCTGTATCGTCGTAGTCTGCCGTCTTCTCAGGCTGCGCTGTTTTGTGGCCTAACCCCTCGCCACGCGGGGGAGCGCCGAGTCTCGTACTGCCCCCATCCTCGGTGCTGCTGCACACTGGCTCAGGCGAGGTCCCCCGACTATGCCTCTCGCTGTGTTCGCGGTTCGCGTGGTATCCGCGGGCCAAGCCCTCCCCCTCGCGTTCAGTCTGTCGGTTTCCCAGGGCATGGGTCCGCTCTGTTAGTTGCGAGGTCCTGTCTACCACACTGTTGGTCAAGACGTCCGCGTCATGCTCACTGGGCTCGTCAGGGACCTCCGCCTCGATCCTCTGCTTGTCTTTGGATCTGCGGTCTAACCCCTCACCGCGCTGGGGTCCTCCGTGGCCTAACCCCTCGCCACGCTGGGGTCCTCTGCGGTCTGCCAGGTGGTACCCTATGTTGTGCTGTGCATCTGGGAACTGCTGGTGGTTGTCATCGCTGCACTGCTTGTCTACGTCCTGCTGGGGGCTGTCCTCTCTGTTCTCTTCTTCAGGGAAGTGGTCGAGGTCTGCCATGTCCTTGGTGCTGCGTCCTGCTGGTGGGGGACGGGCACCCCTCTGCATCCCGTCTGGCGCAGGGCTGTGGCCTAACCCCTCGCCGCGCTGGGGTCCTCCTCGGCCTAACCCCTCGCCGCGCAGGGGTCCTTGGTGCCCTGTCCCCTCTCCGCACAGGGGCCTCCTCGGCTGTGTGGCTGGAGCCCTGCTCGGTACTCGCCCTGCTGCTTGTGGTCGCGGGCTGCGGCTCCTCACTTCTGGCTCAGTCACGCCCAGGATCTGCTCAGCCGTTGCTCTGCGCCGCTCTGCCTCCTTCGGGTCCTGCTGCTGGATCTGTCTGCGCTCCTCTCCGCTGTTGAGCCATGCCAGGCGGCAGATCTCCTCCGCCGCTCGGCGCTGGCTGCGCTGGCGGCTCGTCCCTGACACGTGGCTGAAAAGCGTCTGATAGACGCCAGTCTGCAGCGCCCTCATCACATGGGGCACGCACGCGGCCTGCCACGATGGCCAGCCCAGCTCGCCCTCTTTCTGGCTCCAACAGCCTGCCAGCGACTGCATGAGCTGCTCGAGCCTGTTCCTCTCGAGCCACGCCACCTCCTGCTCGGGGTCCTGGTCGGCTTCTCCTTTGTTGTGTCGAAGCCTTGGGTGGAGCAAGCCGGCCTCGTCAGCTTCGCTCACGAACTTCATCGGGTCGGGCCCCACTGGCTTGGTCAGCGTTACTGCCACCTGCACTGCCGTCTGCATCAGGCTGTTGGCGTCGTGCCTCTGATCAGGTCCCGCCATGGTCTCCATCTCCTGGCTGCTCGGCTCACCCTCCAGCTCTGGGGCTTCACTGTCTGGGGTCGAGTCATCGTCGTCCAGGTTCTCTGGTGACCACTCTCGGCTGGCCTCCGCTGTTCTCGGCAGCGGCCTGCGCTCACTGCTGGGGATGCTGTGCGCTATGATGTTGTTCCTTCTGTTGTGGAAGGCGTCCATGTGCACTCTAGCTGCCTGCTGCCATGTGCCATGCGGGAGGGTAAGCATCCTGGTCATGAGCCTCCGTCGCGTGCGGTGCGTGTTGCGCCAGACTTCTTCGCAGAAGTCCTTTATCTGCTGGATCTCCTGCACGGTGACGGCCCTGGTCTGCTCTTGCGTGTCCGTTCTGCCTCCCACATTGGTGATGGCCAAGAGGTACGGTACGCAGTGCCCCATCCAGTCGCCCATGTCGTCCCAGACCTCTTGGTCGACCATGTTCATCCACAGCTCTGCGTAGCCCTCCATGTGGTCGACGAGCCTCAAGCTGGCGTGGACGACAGAGTACGGATGGCTGGGTTGCTGCTGCGGAGCTGGCTGCGGGTCCCCTGCCCCTGAGCTGTCCCCGTCCAAATCGATCACCTCGTGGTTGCTCAGGCCGAGCGCGAAGCCACCTGGCATGGTGATCTCGTCGAGACCCTCATCAGCTGGGTCTGCTGGTGGCTTAGCTCCTCTAGGCAGCTTGCCCCTCTGCATGTCCTCCAAGACTCGCCGCCCTGCTGCTGTTGGGGGCTGACATGGCCTTGCCAGCTTCCTTGCCACTCCTGCCACGATCCTGCTCTTGTGGTCCCCAAGGTAGCTGGTGCCGCCACATTTCTCGCACCAGAGCCAGCCATGGGTGTACTGCGTCTTGTGGGAGCCGTGCACCACCTGCGTGCCGATCTGCACCGCCTTGAAGTCGAGCCTGACGTTGCCGTGCTGGTCCTGGTGGCCGCCGTACTTCCCGAGGCATTTTCCCGTCTCTGCCAACCAGTCTCTGATGCTTTGTCCTTTGGCTGGGCCACTGCGGCACGTTGCACACCACCATCGCGGATGTAGTTTTCGCAGGTCGTGTCCCTGCTGGGCTGCCCTGTCCCTCGCCGTCTGCGGCTTTCGCCGCTTGGCCTTGGGACGCTGAGGGGCCTTGTTGGGGTCCTCCACCATCACCGCCATGTTGATGGCCAGCAGCCTGTTCTGCACCGCCATGGTGATCTGGTCTCTGGTCTGCTGCTGCACGATGATAGCTGGATCCAGTGCTCCGTGCTCCGCCCCCCAGCCTGCGTACTTATCTGCCATCTCGTTACCTATGACCCACCAGGTGGGACCATTCCACCTCTCCAGCTCTGTTGGGTGCTCAATAAGGTGGCTCGGGATGTGGTGGCCCATGATGGTGTCCGTGCTGTTCTGTAGCTGCTGCTTCGTCTGGAGTCAGAGGTCGTAGTTCGTGCTCCTGTAGTCCAGATCCTCAGGGTCCTGGATCTGCTTGAGTGCGTCCAGGGCGTATTTGCAATCGCTGACTATGTTTAGCCCCCTGGCTTTCGCCGCCGTGGTGTACCCGATGGCTTTGCTCATGGCGGTGAGCTCTGCCCGTGGCACCGTGTGCGGTGCCCTGATTGTGCCGTACCAGGCAGCCACTTCCTGCGGACGACCTTGTTCGTCGAACCTGAATGCCACCACTGCCCAGCCGCAGCGTCTGAGGCGGGGGTCCCTGGCCGTTTCCCCTGCACCACCTGAGCCGTCCGTAAAAACATAGTCTGCCCGCACCTTGTGCCCTGACTGGGCTGCAGCGTGTGCCTCTTCACTGGTGCAGAAGATCTGCGCCGCCTTCGCCGCGTCCTCGTCTGGGTCGACCTTGGCTGCCCAGGCCGCTGGCGGGATGTCTCGGAGCCAGAAATGCAAGTCCTGCCGCTGGTCCAGCGCGTCCTTCGCCTTCTTCGCCAGGTCGGTGTCATTGCTGTGCCCTATTTCTGTGTTGGCAGGGCAGGCGTAGTAGCGGTGTTCCTCTGTCTCTATCGCCTCGCCGCATCTCGCGCAGGTGTCATCGCCTTCTTGGTTGAGGTTGGCCGCCCTGCGACGCTCCCTGGCCCAGATGCCTGCCACCGCTATGGTCTGCAACATTGCTGCCTCTGCATGCTGTCCTTTACGCCTCCTTCTTCTCAAGTGGCGCTGCAGCTGATAGAGGTCGCCTCCAGCCGGAAGTCCTTCTCCACTGCGATGGCCAGCTGCCTGCTGCCAGAGCTGCTGCTGCGCGCTCTGCTGGACCTCACGCAGGAGCGCGCCGAAGTGGGGAATGTCATCTGGCTTGTAGGCCCACTCGTCACCTGCTGGGCTGATCCAGCTGTCCAGGCGTCGCGGTATCCAGCCTAACCCAAGCAACTGCACAATGACCCCTGCCATGGGCCCCTTGACCTGCTGCCACCTGCGGTTGGGTTCCAGGGCGCCCAGCTTGGCGTAGAGCAGGAGCCAGCCCCTCTGGTACCTCTTGAGCTCCGTCGGGTGGTCGACTACGGTGAGCCAGAACTGCTTGATCTGGTCGCCGATGGCTCGGGTTACTGCCTCTTGCATACCCCTCTGGATCAGGAGGATGGTGGACGTGCAGCGTCCAGCCTTGTGTCCGCCTGTGAGGAGCGCTGCCTCCGTTGCCCTGACCAACTTCGCCTCCGTGGGCGTGATGCCGTGCGCTGGTAAGTCCCAAGCCTGCTGGCAGTAGGCACCTGCTGCATAGACCTTTGCCGCGCCTCTGGCGTCCGTCTTCGCCAGGTCCCTGAGCTTGGCCACCCTCTGCTTGGCCTTGGCCTGGCGCGCGGCATGGGTGGGTCGCCGCAGTTGCTTCCCAAGGCTGGTGTCCACGCCGAGGTCGCGCACTACCCCTGGTTGCTTGTTGGGGGTGCCCAGGCTGTCCAGGATGCTGGCGACTTCTGCCTGGAGGTCCTTGTCCGAGGCCACCACTGCCGTCTTGACTGAGATGGGGATCGCGAGCTGCTTGAAACCATCGTGCACCAGCGCCGCCACGTGCTTGATCTGGTCAATGACCTGCCGCCGCGCGCCCTCTACCTGCAGGGCCAAGTCGTCCAGGTACTGCTGCATGACGACGAAGATATGGTGCCTGTGCGCTGCATCCAGGATTCCATACAAGAGCGGTCTGGTGAGGTCTACCGCTTGGCCACAGCCTGCTACCATGCTGTTGGCAGGCTCAAAGATGTCCGAGAAGAGGCTGTGGGCCATGATGGCCCTGGGCGCAAGGTACATCTGCACGGCCATTGCCAGCGGCAGCAACGGGTACTGGAGGGCACTGGCCTTCTCGATCAGCTGGTCGAGGCCTATGTTGTCGTAGAAGTTTGCCGCGTCGTAGAACACTCCTGCTGCATGAAAGCCCATCTCCGTGGCGGCTTCTGCCCTCATAAGTCTGTGCATTGCCACTCGTAGCGCTGAGGAGCCAGCTACTGCCGTATCCCAGAAGCCCGCCGCTGCCTTGCTCCAGGTGGCTACTATGGGCCTCCTGGCTGCGCTCCAGATGCGGTACGGCATGGGCATGAGGCCGATGGGGCGCTCTCCCCCGATTCCTGGCTTCTTACCCAGCAGCAGCTCCAGCACCAAGTAGAATTGCCACGGCCAGGCTGCCCGTTGCTCACAGCTGGTCAGGCACTGCACGAAATCTCCCAGCCCCTGGGCTCCCATGGCCTTGAGCTCTGGAGCCCTCCACCAGTCCGCTCCTTGGCCTGCATTGCTCTTCAGGTGCTGGATGATGGAGCCTATGATGTCCTTGCTGATGGGCTCGAGGGCATTCTCTTGGGCCAGGGCAGCCTGCCTCAGCTTGGCCAGCGCCTCTTGGATCCTCTCGGCCTTCTGCGCATCTCGTGTCCACCTGCGTTGCCATGCTTCTTTGCGCAAGTCCACCAGCTGCTGCGGGTGGTTGATGACCTGGCCCTCGTGCTCTAGGATGTCCTCCAGATGGCTGCGCTCCGCTGCTTTGGTGTAGGCGTGGGCCATCTTCGCACTGCCAGCCGTGGCGTCATGCACCCAGTGGATGTACGCCTTCTTCACCGCCTTTGTGAGTAGCTTGGCCATGCTCTTTACCTCCTCTGCTACCCTGCTGATCGTCCCTGGGTCCACGAGGGCGCCCTCTGCTATGGCGTGCAGGTCTGCGAGGAGGGCCTGCTGCTGGTCCTTGGCTGCACCTTCATCGTTCAGCCTGCCTGGGTCAGGCTGGTTGAGCTGCTGCGCAAGCTGCTGTCTTGTGTTGATCTGCTGCTGCGTCTGGCGGCCACTGTGGGTGCGGACCTGCTGCTCTCGGCGGCTACTCTGGCCACTGCCTGTACCTGGAGCATCATGTAGTTGTCTTCGCGCTGCTCCTTCTAGTGCTCTTTCGCCTATGACTTCTCGCATGAACCTCCGCAGGTTTGCGAGCTCCCTCCAGTGCATCATTTCCAATTCGTGCCTCCTCGTCGGCACCTCTCGCGCAAGTCCTTGGAGAAAGCCTCGGCGTCGTGGTTCTGCATGTCTCCATGCTCGCTCGCAGAGGTCCCTGATGATGTGGCTGAGGCCGGCCTGCTGGTACCAACCTCTGAGCAGTCTCACCATGCCATTGTTGCCTCCGCCTCCCAGGATGGTTTCCAGGAGCGGCACGCAGATCTGCATCCAGTTGCTGTTGTCCGTGGGGAGCTGCACCAAGTTATCCATCCAGATGGCCGCCCAATACTCCAGGTCGTCTCTCATGGCCACGTAGTCTTCCCGCTCCCGCTGGTGTTGGTCGTCATTCCAGGGGTCTGTAGGGGGCAGGCCCATATCTCGTTGCTCATCTGCCTCTGGGCTTGGCGGCGCTTGGTTCTGACTCCTCAGGTGATCGGTACCCTCTGCCTCCATAGTACCAGCTGGCTGAGGAGGTGAGCAGTGCGTGTCACCTGGGGCGGTTTCACCAGATCCAGCTGCCTGCCGACGTGCGGTCTGGCCGTAGCCGTTGCCATCCAGCTGCCTCTCGATGCGCTGGTGGTACCCATCGCAGTCCTCCTGGTCTGCGGTCTCCTGGCGGTTCTGGAAGCGGTCCTCCTCTTCCTCGAAGGGGTCGTGGTCTTGGACGTCCATGGTGCTGCGTCCTGCTGGTGGGTGAGAATCAGGTCCAGCTGCTCGACGGCGAGCGGTCTGGCTGGACTCGAGGCTGGCCTGCTGCCCCTCGATGTGTTGGTGGTACCCATCGCTGTTTTCCTGGTCTGCGATCTCCTGGCGGTACTCCAAGTACTCCTCCTCATCCTCGAAGGGGTCGTGATCTTGGATGTCCATGGTGTTGCGCCCTGCTGGTGGGGGAAGGGCACCCCTCTGCATCCCTTCTGGGCAGCTGTCTGCGGTGCTGTGGGTATGCCCCACGTGGAGGTCTGGGACGCCTCCTGCTGCGCCTCCACTGCCTGCGCTCCGCTGCTGCAGCTCGGGGGGGCCCTTGCCCCGCTCGGTGGGGGAGCGTTCCACCGAGCTTCCTCCCGAGCTCTTCGATGGGCTCAAGGCTGGTGCAGGGTCGCCTTCTTCGTGGCCTTCCTGGCTGCCCGAAATGACGGGGCCAAGCTCCAGCTCCAACGGGCCCTGTCCTCCTCCCGAGTCCTCATCGGGACGTGCTTGGGTCTTGCCCTGTCGACTTGCCGCTGCCTCCTGCGCTCGGGCGGCGTGGTGCGAGAGCTGCCGCACCAAGGAGGATATCTCCGCCCACCACGCATGGATCTTCCTTTCAACCCCTGCCCATGGCGTAGAGGTGACGGTGTCCTTGATGCTCACGCTCTTGTAGCTCGGGGGCCTGCTGTGCCCGAGATGACGTCCTCGATCTTCCTCTGGGATGCCGATGCTCTCGCACAGGCTGAGCTCGAGTGTGCTAGCGAAGTGGTCGTACTGTTGCCCCAGATCCAGCATGTCCCGCTCCATCATCTTGCCGACGACAGTGTGCTGCAAGTGCTGGGGCAACTCGTCGTAGACACGCAAGCTGACCCTCTCGGAGGTGGCCTGCCACAGCTCGTCAGGGATGACGTGCTGGACCTCCTTGTCGTAGTACAGCTGCGGCACTGGCTCCATGTCGTTTCCTTCCTGGTCGCATCCTGCCTCTGCCAACGCTTGCTGACGTCGGCGCATGGCCTCCTGGCCTCCTCGCGCCGCTCGCCTGCAAGCGGCTCTGGACTTCGGCATTCTCTCAACTGCGACTGGTGGCTTTATGGCTGCTGGCCTGCGAAGTACCCTGCCCTTGAGCTTTAGAGGCCGCCCTCTCAGCTTCAAGCGGATGCCAATGTGCGGCTTCCACGGCACGGTCCTGGGCAGCTCTAGCTGGTCAAAATACGGCACCAGGCCCTGCGAGATCAGCGCGAAATCGATGCACCTGGCTTCGCCTCCTGCTGGGAAGCACGTGGGGGCGCCATCCTCCGCCGCTGCTACTTGAGCATTCAGCACCCTGGGCCAGATGCTGTTGTTGAACTCCGACGGCGTCATATTGAAATCCCCAAGCGCTGCCCATGGCCCTCCCCAGACGGCCATCTTGTCCCGCAGGTCGCAGAGGATGTCGACGTTCCTCTCTCCGAAGCCCGTCCCACACTCGAGGTAGACGAAGGCCACTGCGAAGCGGACCTTGTGCAGGTTGGAGATCACCACCGCGACGTCGCTGCCGTCCTCGTGCAGGTAGCGCTCGTCGAAGCCCGCGATCCTGTCCTGGACGTCCAAGGGTCCTCGCGTTATGGCACGCGTTCCTCCACGAGTGCCTTCTCCTTCTCCTGGCCGTGCCTTGGTCCAGTAGCTGTGCATGCCATTCCTCCTGAGCGCCGCTCTTGCCTTGCCTATCTGCGCAGGCTGGCGGAGGTGGTGCTCCGCGATGCCGATGATGTCCCTGTCCTTGGTGTCGTTGATCTCCATGAGGTAGCCCTGTGCCTGGGGGCCCCAGGTCGTGACATTGAAGAAGTCGATGTGGCAAGGGCGGCGAGCCTTCTTCGCGCTCGCCTTGGGGCGGCTACCCTGCTGAGTGGTCACCTTGCCCTTCTGCGTCGACGACTGTCTCGGCGCGCCTGGCCTGCGAGACCTTCTCTCGCGCCTCCTGGATGTGGGCCTCCACTCTAGCTCGGCGTTCCTCTGCTTTGTCATGTTCTGCTGCACCTGCTTCTGGTTGGGCAGCTGCCGCGGCGCCGTTAGGCGCAGCCGCAGCAGCTGACCCTGCTGCCTCAGCGCCCGTGGTGGCTCCTCGCTGAGGGGCTGGGCTGGCAGCGCGGACACGCTTGCCTGGTGGGGCATCTGCTGCTTCTGGGTCTTGCTCTCCGCTCTTCGACAGGCGCTTGGTGCGGGCCTGCTCGAGCTGGCGCAGCTGCTCCTGGTGCCTGGCCGTCTCTTCCTCCAGAAGTCGCAGGTGCTTCGCCGTCTCCTCCTCGTGCTCCTTGGCCGTCTGGGCCATGCGCTCGCCCTTGGCCTTTGCAGCTCGCCAGACCTCCCTGTCTGGCTCGGGCCACTTGTGGAAGTCGTCAGGCTCGTGCTCGAACTGCTCCAGGAGGGCTGCCAGCGTTGGCTTCTCGGCTGCGGGTTCGGCTGGTACCTCTTGCTTGCCGACTGTGGCCTTGAGCTTGTCGAACTCATCTTCTGCTGCAATGGATGCTTCCATAGCTTCACGAAGCCTGCGTTCACTCTCAGCCAAGTACTGCTGGGCACTCTCCACTTGCCCCCCTGCCGATCGTACCTTCTTTTGGAGTTTGTCCAAGCGTCGAGCTGCTGCCTCCACTGCCTTGAATCCAACGACTGGTTGATCTGCTGGTGGCTTGGTTGCGGCGAGCTCTGGCCAGAGGGCCTCGTAGTGCTGCTTGAGCGGGTCGTCCTTGCTGAGCTTGCCGTATGCTGCTGCGGCTGCGGCCTTGAGATCGGCGGTCTTGTCGTGAGGTGGTGGCTGGCGTTGGCCTCCTTGCCCTTTCCCGCCTGCACCACCTCCTGGCTGCCAACCATCTGCCCAGCTGATCCTGGGCGAGGTTCCACCTTGGGGCTGCGCTGCCACCCACCCACCATCCTCGTCACGGAAAACGTGTCCGTCAGGGACGAGGCAGGCGAGATTCTTGCTGCAGATGCAGAGGTCGCCCCTGCTGGTGATGTTCTTGCAGTAGCGCCATCTGCTGCACCCGTCACACACCACGTAGCTGCTGCGAGGAGGGCGACTGCCACTGCTGCTCCTCTTCCACGGGGGCACTCTCTGGCGATTCGGGGTCCCCGACCAGGCGCTGCCCGCCCCGCGTCCGCCGCCGCCACTCCCCATGGCTGCAGCAGTGCCGCGCGCGCGCCCGACGCCCGTCTGGGAACTGCCCTCGGTCCAGAGGTCCCCCTTCGGCCTGGAGGCTGGACAGCCCCCCAGGTCGCCATCTTGAGCCAAACTGGCTACGGGGAGGAGGAGGAGGAGGAGGGGGAGAAGCCAGAAGGGGGGGGGGAACCTAAGTGGGCTCGCGCCAAATCTAACATCCTGCCCCTCCCACCCATCCCTTCCCAATGTACTGATTTTTCTCTAAGCGCGGATGCGTGTCATAGATGACTGAGAACTCCCAAGATCCCACCGTGTCATGGGCAATTGGGAAGCCGGAGCTGCGCACAGTGGAGGAGGGGGGGGAGGAGGAGGACATTTTTTTGACATTCGCTTCGGGGCTGAACTAAAAAGCTCAAGCACGTTCCGCGGACAGCAACTGACCCCCAGCCCAAGCCTGGGGCGTTGCCAGTTCCGAGTCGGCGCCAAGAACCCTACCCCAGGAGGAGGAGAGGAGGAGAAGGACACGCATGAAACACAACTCGCCCGGGTTAAACGCTGCCCACCTTCTAATGGACCGTTCCCAGGCCATAAAGAAACAATGCAGAACTTCCCCAGAACGGGGCGGAGAATCCCATCCCACCCACCAGTGACCCCCTCCCCAGACAAGAGCAATCCCTGAACGCCAACTTGCAGGTTCGGACTTTCGAGCATGGTGAGACCATGGCAAGACCCGCCAGGGAAGGCCACTTGCTTTCGCCTGTGACCTGGCTGCCAATTCCTTGAACTGTCTGGAAGGAGGGAGGAGGGGGGGGGGAAAGACAGTAGGACAAGGGAAGGGGAAGGAGATCAAGACTGCAAGGCACTGGGGTAAACTTTCTTCCCACAAACTAATGGGAGCCCCTAGCAGAGTGAGACCTCCGTTCCCCAAAGGGAAGAGAGAACACTAGGGGATTACTTCGCCAGACTTTCCTGGACCCCTGAAAAGTAAAATAAACTGGGCTGAATACAGCTGCCCAACTGGCGCATGAAGAAGAAACTGCAGGTAAGCTACCTGCTTCACAGTTCTGCCGATCTGGCCAAGGTAACAAGACGTGAAGGTAAAAGAACGCTGGGTAGCTGACAACTGTCCTACCCAAACGAAAGGACCAACACAAAAGGATGATACCAAAACCTGTAGCCGATGAATTATGCTCACTAAGCCAATACCCAAGTTGCCATTTAGCCCAAGATGCAATAAACATTCTGCCGCTGAAAGAAAGTTGGATGCTACCAACATAGTTGCTCCAATTACTTTGAAGAAATGGAGTCTGAGCTGGATCTGCTCCTCCTAGGAACAGGCGCACTGCCTGAAGCTGCGTTTGGATTCTTAACACGATTGAGCTCCTCCTGGAGTGTCTCTAGCTTCTGCTGGAGGTGCTTGATCTTGATATCCTGGAGACCACACTTTAACTCCAGCAGTTTTGAACTGGACGGGGCAGAACCACTGGAAGGGGCGGCATCGCTGTGCCCAACCTTTGCACGCTTACTAGCGTGCTCTGGAGAAGTCGAACGAGGACTGTCGACATGTTTACTGGCAGAAGGTGAGTCGGACACGCTATCGCTGTCCAAAACTGGAAGCTTGTCTTCCTTCTTGGTGATCTGAACCTTTGCCTGAGGCTCCACATTGAATTTCTCGCATACTGCCAAATAAAGAAACTGTGCGTGCCCTTTGTACTTGTCCAAGAAATGGTCCAACTGATCCAGCATCTGCGGTTCGTACTGCTGCAAGACATCCGAGATCAAAAGCTTGAGCTGATGCCTGACTTTGAAATCCTGGCCCTGCTCTCTGTCGGCTTCTACCTGATGAGCGGCCTTATCTTTGGGTTTGGCCTTCACTGCCACAAGAGGCGGCGGTGGCTGCGTCTTCTCACTGTCGGCTTCTACCTGAACAGTGGGCTTGTGTTTGGACTGAGACTTCTCCCTGCCAACTACTACCTCAGCCTTGATCCTTTCTGTGCGACCAGACTTCGCTGCTGACGGTGGTGGCGGAGGTGGGGGAAGTGGCTGGGAACTCTTCCCATGCCACGGAAGGCCGCATTTACATAACGGCTGAGAAGCAATTCTATTAGGCCAGATCCAACAGTCTGGTCTGCCACGCGGGCAAAGTAACTTTGGATGCGAAACAACAGGAGCTCCTACTCCTTCTTTGCGAACCCAAGGCGTCCTGGAAGACATGGCGGAAACTGCGGCGCGTGGGTGCAGGAGAAAAGGGGGGGGCAGGCTGCTCCTGCCCAGCTGGCTTGAGCGGTGGCAACTTGAGCCAAAATGGCTTGAACCAAAATGGCTTGAGCCAAAATGGCTACGGAGGGGGGAGAAGGAGGAGGAGGAGGAGGAGGAGGAGGAGGCGGAGGAGGAGGAGGAGGAGGAGGAGGAGAAGGAGGAGGAGGAGGAGGAGGAGGAGGAGGAGGCGGAGGAGGAGGAGGGGGAGGAGGAAGGAGGAGGAGGACGAACCGAAGCGGCGGGAACTGGAGCAGAAAGGGCGGGAGGAGCAGGAGGACCGGGGGAAGGCGAAGGAGGGACGGACTCGGTCGCAGAGAAGTGGCCCGCGCTGTGGCGAGAGCGCCAGTGTCAACGACGGGAGCAAAGCGCCGATCTTAAAACGAGGCCAACGCTGCAACGGGAACACCGTTTGGAAGGACGGACAGCGGCCGGACTGTAAACAAACAGATAAACATTCAGTGCTCGAACTCCTGCGCGCGACAGGATCAAGAACGTGTGGAGGGCCGAGGGTCTTCCAGACAGAGCCGGGGGACAGAGGGGAGTGATACTCTGAACGTGTACTTGTGGGAGAGGGCGAGGTGGTGTCTCCCACCGCTTCACGGCCGCGCTCTCCTCGGCCGCGTCGTCCGACTCCGCCCCGTCATCGCCCTCCGACTCCTCCTCCTCGCCGTCCTCGGCGGGCGCCGCCGGGAGAGATGGCCGAGACGCCCCGCCCCGCCTCGGGGCAGTCCCGCCTCCGGGCCGCACGACGCCGCACAGCGCGGCGAGGCTCAGCCCGTGCATACCACGGGGATCGAAGCAACAAAAACATTCGGGCGGGACTTAATGGGGGGGTCATAAACGGGGGGATCAGAAAAGGTCCCCTTTCGTGCCCCTTTCGGGCTCCTCCAGAGCCCCAGGGGGCTCGTTTAGGTACCGTTTGGGTGCCTTTTCGAACCACCCTCGCCACCCCCCCATTTATGACCCCCCCATTACGCGGCGCCCAAAACATGAGGACGCGTGCCCCTCCAGAGGTGCGCGCGGACTTCTCGGGTCGGTACCGGCACGTGTCGCACCCCGCAGCTGCTGGCGGCGCCTCCCGGCGTGGGAGGGGGGGGGCCCAGGCGGGGCGTGGAGGGAGGGGGGGATCAGCGCCGATCCGAGAAGCTCGCGCGGGCCTTCTGCTCGAGAGCGAGACGAGGCATGCCTCTTGCACACCACGGAGACCAATACAGAGACGCCCTCCGACGAACTTTGCACGTACCTTCAGGGAGGGCGGCGGTGTAAGCATCGCTGGCTCTCAGTGGTGATTCATACACTGCCACCACCCGCTGAGGCCCAGGAACAATCTATTTTGGGGTGCGTTCTGACCAGGATTTCGACGCGAATCCAGCGATGGCGACGAGGGCCTCCCAGGAGGCCCGAAAAGGGGAAAACGGGCCAGGGGGCAGAGGTATGGGTACCTTACCCTTCTCTGATTTGCGGGTTGTTTGTGGCGAACTTGTGCTCGGGAGCGAGGCGAGGCATAGGCCGCGCGTTCCAGCAATCCTCCGCATCCAGACCCAGACGTCCGGAGCTGGGTTTGGCTCCACGTGTGGGCCCCCTGGAACACTCGACCCCTGCCCCTAGGGGCACAGGTTAAAGTTAACCCGTGCAGGAAGGATGCGCAGTAGACGCAAGGGCCTCGAAGGGCCATGCTAACGTCTTTCGAGCGAGGCTGGCCAGCGAAAATCGCCAAGGACGGGTCGCAGGGGCAAGGATGCGAGGGTAGCCTTGGAATGTTGCTCATCCTTACTATGCGGGTTGACTGTATCGACCCGAGTCTCTTCTTGACCAAATGGACAAACCAGTTTCGTTGTTTGTCCAGGCGCCCGGGGGGGGGGGGCACACACCAATTTCAGTGGCACGCGTGTTTCTGGTGAAGCATCGGCGGGTTTTCTGATACAAGCGAGGGAATGAGACGCTGACGGGGCTCCCGACGGCAGCCCGTCATGGATACTCGGATACTCTTCTTCGCTCCGAACCAGATGCCCGGGGAGCCTCGCCCCTGGGGGGGAGATCTGCCCCGCGATCAGGCCATCCTCCCCTCAAGGGCCGAGATTTCTGGTTGCCCCGTGGTACACATGAGTGCGAAACGCATCAACATCCGTATCCACACCCTCGGACATCGTGTCCTCTGCCAGTCAGGGCCGCTGGGGCGTGGATACGGACACGCCAGGGTCGAACGCGTCGGAGGAGCCGTATCCGTGGCCTCATCCCAGATAGCGGCGGCATGCCTGTGGACATGTGTCTTCGACAGAGCGCGTTGTGGGGGGGATGGTTCGAACCCCCTCCACCCCCCTCCATCTAGGGGACGGGGGTTCGGTTCCCCCCCCCAGCGACCACAAACGCGCTCTTTCGTTTCTTCTCTGGCTCTGCGAGATACGGTGGGTAATACAGAGCATCCAACAGGAGGCAGGTAGGCCTTCTGGCCTTGTGGCGGCGGGCGCGGCAGCGGCCCTTGCCCCTCCTCCTGGTGTGGCGGCGGCCCTCCCAAGTGCAACCCTCAGCTACACGCCGCAGCGACCCTGGGCAATAATCAGAGTACCAAAGATCCACCCCCATAATGACCATCCCGACACGCGAAGTCGTTTAGTAAACGCGCCCAAGAAAGGAATCGAACAGGGCAGGGCTGTTTAGTGAACGCCATGGGCCGTTTAGCAAAACGCCGATTATCGGGTCCGGGTGTTTTTTCTTCCCTTGCGTCACGGGGTCGCGGGAGGGCAAACACCGAGCGCACAAGCCAATGCTAGGGCTTGCGGGCCTGCGCTTCCGGCGTACACAGAGGCATGCGACATATTTCGTTGCTCCCCCCTCCCCCCTGCCACCCTCCCCACAGGGTCGCCCGAACTCCCGTTCTGGGGGGAGGGGCTGCGAGCTCCTCAACTCCGGGCAGCCCAACAAGGCGGTCAAGGTACAATGGGGTGGTGGGAAAACGTTCGCTGGCACTGAAATAACCGACGGGCCCGTGCGAAAGAAATTGCGCCATTCCGCCGCTCATGCCAACGCATGCCTGCAGATAGCCTCGTGAAGTGCTGATGCACACTGCAGACGGGCGCCTCGGATGCTGTTCCCGATATCCTTATAATATGGCATGACTGTTATTCCCCATATCCTAAGGTGTTTTTTTATTGCTTAGATGCCTCCGACTCCCAAGGAAGGAAGCCACTCATACTCGGAATGTCACCCTCGGACACACAAATAGTCCGACTCACTGACGCTCCTATCCACCTCATCCCTCCTCTTCCTAACCATGCCCCCACATCCTCTGCATTCGGAACAGATTGTGAGGATGCATCAGGCGAGGCGCTGGTGCCAGCACCACCACGGGGGAGCCGCCAGGGGGCAATTCACGGGCCCGCTCGCGCCCAGTTTGGGGGGATGTCTAAGGCGGTCTGCCTGTTCGCATGCCCCAGATCCTCGACATTCAATCGGAGCAGACTGTGAGGATGTCTCAGGCGAGGCGCTGGCTTCTGCACCCCCGAAGGGGAGCCGCCAGGGCGTATTTCACGGGCCCGTTCGCGCCCGGATCACGGGGGATGCTTCAGGCGGTGTGCCCGTTCCTCCAGAGGTGTCCGTGGACTTGTGTCACAACGTAGACGCGCCTTTGGACGTCACTCACTCGCACCTCCTCCTCTTCCTCGCCCAGACGCGTTCAAACTCAGACTTACTCATCAGCACCGCTTCCCCACTCAGACTCACTCATCACAATCAGGCTCACTCAGAGTCACAATCATCGGAGCAGATTGTGATGATGTCTTGAGCGAGGCACTGGCTCCAGCACTCCCAAGGGTGAGCCGCCAGTGGATTCTGTCACTGACCCATTCGCGCCCAGTTTGTGGGGATGTCCCAGGTGGTGTGCCGATTTGCATGCCCAACAGCACTCATATTCATACCCATTCGATCTTAGACTCACTCACATTGAAACTCGCTCGCACTCAGACTCACTCACCCACACTCAGATTCACCCATTTCCAGACTAAGTTACACTGCCTCTCACTCGTGCCCAGACTCTCTCATCCTCAGACTCATGCTCAACATATCGATAGTCAGGCCCACTCACACTCACACTTACATACACCCAGGCCCACTCACACTCAGACTCACTTGTGCGCAGACTGACTCATACTCGGACTCATACTCATCATACTCAGACTCAGAGCCACTCACACTCAAACTTACCTACACTCAGACTCACTCGCACTCAGACTCGCTCACACTCAGACTTCGGCATACTCAGACCCACGCGTTGACCCAAGCACAATCAAACTCAATCATACCCCGACGCACTCACACTCAGATCACTCACAGTCTTCCATGTTTGGGTGGTCCAGTGCTACCTCGCTCTTCCACTTGTGCTTCCCTGATCTTCCCTGGAGGATGCCCAGAAGGAGGCTGGACATCCTTCAGGGCTGCCCATACTGCCTCGTTCAGTTCAAAAGGGAGGACCATCCTCCTCCTCCTCCTCCTCATTATCATCATCATCACCACCACCACCACCACCACCACCATCATCATCATCATCATCATCATCATCATCATCATCATCATCATCATCATCATCATCATCATCATCATCATCATCATCATCATCATCATCATCATCATCATCATCATCGTCGTCGTCGTCGTCGTCGTCATCATCATCATCATCATCATCAGCATCATCATCATCATCATCATCATCATCGTCCTCGTCGTCCTCTGGATCAGCCTCCATGTCCTGGCCCCCCCCCACGTCCCCGTCGACTGCTCTCGAACATAAACATAATAAGAAAAACAACTACTCTAAAGAAACGACTCTAAAAGAAGAAGAAGAAGAAGAAGAAGAAGAAGAGGAGAAAGAAACGCCATATACATAAACTCGCGGCGCTCCGCGCTGATTTCTCGGATCCGCGCTGGACCCCCCTCCCTGGTGCGCGGAGCGCGCCAGGAGCGGCGCCGGAGGCACCGCCGAGGGGGGGGGGCCAGGCGCCGATCCAAGAGATCCACGCGGAGCGCCGAAAAGTTATGTCCATGGCGCTTTTTTCTTCGAATCTCGCAGCCAAACTGCCGGGGAGGCACGATGACTCCTGCCGTTGACTTTTTGGTGTGCGTCCCCGTCCGTCCCCTCCTGCCGGTCCGGTCCCCCCGCTCTCCCTTGCTGGCTGCCCCGCCGCTCGTGCCTCCCACGTTCCCCTTCCGTCCCCGTCGCGTCTCCCCCGCTCCAGAGCCTTATGTTGCTCCCACCGTGCTTACAGACCGCATCTCAGAAATAATTTCGAGCACGGGTGTCGAAACAGTGTCGAAACAATGCCCCATCCCATCGAAGCAAAGGTTCTGTTGCTCCCATCGTACTTACGGACCACATCCCAGAAATAATTTCGGGCACCCAGAAAAGTGTCGAAACAGTGCCGAGGCAGTGCCGGACGAGTGCCTCCCAGGGCCCGACACGTGAAAACCATCGAGTTTCGGTATTTTTTCTGGCGCTCGAACTTCTTTCTGGTGATCAGGGCTAAAATAGGCTGGAACATCATAACCATAGCCCCTTTGCTATACCTCCGCGTGGTGGGCCGCAAGTTTACAGCCTCGGCCTTCGCGCACCCCGAACGCGTGCGCCGTCTGTTCAGAAGGCTTGACGATCGAACAACACGCACTCATACCTATAGGGGGGACGGAGGAGGCTATGGGTGCGTGTTGTCGGATGGGGGTCCCCGCTCGAACGGGAGCTTCCCCCAGGGTCCGACAACTCGCACCCACACCCATAGCCAGTTCCCCTCCTTTCGACCCTCCTACGGGTATGGGTGTGAGTTGTTCGCTCGTCAAGGTTTGCGTGTGCGTTGTTCTGTGTGGGTTGTGGTCGTGTGTCGTGTGCACGTGTACTGATGACTGTGTGTGCGTGATGGTACGTATCGTTAGTGCGCGTTTGCGTGCGATGCCAGCACACGACTGTTCTGCAGGTACTTGCCGCTGCGCTGCCCCCCCTTGCCCGTTCTACTCTTCCGAAGGATCCCATCTGCTTTCATGGATTGGTCCCAGTGCAAGTCCTCACCGTCTGCAAGGTCCGTGCCTGCGACGGTAATGAAGTGAGTGGGCTGCGAGGCCAGCGAGAACTCATTCTCCGCCGAAGCCGCCAGCACCTGTTTCCAAGCATGGCTGCACATGTTGGGAACAGCAAAGTCACGGACTGGATCATCGGCACGAAGCGATACAGGCAAGAGAGGATAAGATCAGACCTCCAAAGGATATGACCCTCTCTGTGCATTGGCTGAACACGCCTCCTCCGCATTGATTAGGCCAGCCACAGAGCAGACCATGCAAACTCTTCTCTTTTCACACTCTCACCCTCGGAACGGCAATGAACGCCAAATGCTGCCCATCTCCGATCTTCGACAACGCAAGATGTGTATAACTGGTTGCGCCTGGTGTGTATCCGCCACCGTGCCTTCCGCACGTAGCGGAGTGCCCCACGCAGCCCTGCAGCCCAGAGAAGCAGAGGGGCTGTAAAGTCCTTGGGGCCCGGACCTTCAGATTCCCAGCCGCTCCTGGGACTTTTCGGGAGCTCCTGGGAGCTCCTGGGGGCTCCCAGGAGCTCCTCGGCCAACCTGACGCGACTTCCCGAAACCTCGAGAGCGTTTCAAGAACCGCCTCAGGTGGCAAACGAAGGCCCCAGAGCGGTCCAAGACAGGTTTAAGGCGGCCCGTTGTGGCCCCAAGACGGCTCAAGGGTCCCACAAGACGCCTCAAGAAGGCCCCGAGAGCACCCCAAAAGGCAAACATCGCCCCATTCCCACAGGGAAACGAATAGTTTCAACATAGTCGGCCCTTGGGCTTTCACAGCGTCCAAGACGGCTCAAGAAGACCCCAAAGACAGCCCAAGAGGGCTCGAAGAGGGCCTATGACGGCTCAAGAAGGCCCCAAGACAGCAAGGCGCCCAAGACGGCCCACGAGGGCCCCAATGGCCCAAGAAGGCTCCAAGATGGGGACCTCGAGCTCGGATTTCGAGCATTCCGCCCCAAGGGGGCCTCCGAAATCGCCAGCAAACCCCCAAGAAGTGTCCAAAAGGCCCAGAAAAGAAGCCCCAAGAGGCCCCGGCTCCCATGAAGGCCCAATGGGCTTCAAAACTGCCTCCAGGAGACTCGTCAGAGGCTTCCCCAGAAACCCCAACAAGCATCCAAAAGGACACTGACCCACAATCCAAGCACGGTTGCGGGATGGGTGGAATACCACCAGATCCGCTGCCCACTGTTACTTTATCACAGGAGAGCCTAGCGTGCTGGGCGTCTGGGTGGTTCTTGGTTCTTTTCTGAACAACTTCCAATGGGGTCTCAGCCCAACCCGCTGGTCACCCGAAAAGTGCCGAAAAAAATCCACCGTTGCCGAAATCGCCTCCAAGACGGGCGAGATGGCCCACGATGGCCTCCAACATGCCTCCAAGACGAGCCAGATGGCACCAAGATAGCCCAAGATCGACCAAAGACGGTTTCAGTATGTCCCCAAGACCGCAAAGATGGTCCAAGAGAGCCCAATACGGCCCAAGAAGAACCCGGGGATCCCGAAGACACATGATTGCCCTGAGGTGTTCGAAGGAAGTTGGCATTTGCTTCAAAACGGCCTTCCGACTGCCTAAGAGGCCCCAACGACTGCCCCGAGATGGCCGAATAGGCCTCCCAAGTAACCCAAAGAAGCTCCCAAGACGGCCCTCAAAGGGCCCCAACACGGCCCAACAGGCCCCCCAAGCCCAAAGATGGCCTGCGAGACGACTCTGAAGCACCCCGAGCGGGTCCCAAGACGGCCAACCGAGGCTCCGACGACGACTTCCGAACGTCTGACGGGCCAGGAACGCTGTAAGACTCCCAGCGGGGCCCCGAAGAGGCCCAAGGAGGCCCCCAAGAGGCCTCAAACAAAAACACAGGAAGCTCCCAGGATGCCCCACGAATGGCCCAAGAATCTCCCAAGAAATCTCGTCATCCTTCTCCTCATCCTCCTTCTTCATCCCTCTCCTCATCTTCCTTTTCCCCCCCGACGTGTTCCCCGAAGCATTTCCACAACGGCTGGGGGAACGCATGGTCCAATATCATGGCCAAGCGTTGCATGGCCACGGCATCTCGCCGTGGGCGTCTTCGATAAAGCACGAACGTTACGTCGTTCATTTCTAATCGTGCTCAATTTTTTGCCGTGGCAATGCTTCGCGGCGCAACGGCTGCTCGCGAGCTGTGCGGCAGGCAGCCACTAGGCCACCCCGAAATAGGCGCGGACCTCACCGTCTGAGAGGCGCACTGCTGCCTCGGCTACGCGCACGCCCACCTTCGTGGGGTGCCAACAACCGAGCAACTTCGCCTTCACGCAGGTGACCTGTCTCGAGGCCGCCTGACCTTGGCAGCGGTCACCTAGGGACCGAAAAGCACGCCCAAAGCACCGTACCCCGCATCGGCCACAAAATGTGTCCGGCCCCGCGCGGTGCAGCTGGTGCCCCAGCGCTGGGTCTAGGGCCCTGCTGGCCACACTTCCACTAGCTCTGGCTGGCCCCGAGCTTGGCCCCACAGGAGGAGGTGGAGGAGCAGCAGGAGGGGCAGGCACTACAGGCTCGAGCGGCTGGGAGCTAGGCGACGCGGCGCCTCGGCCTCGGCTGCAACTCCTATGCACAGAGCCACCCTCATGGATCACTCGCTGCCGCACTCCAAGGCACCGCTGGCGCTTGTACTGCGCCGCTCGGGCCCCTAGCACCTTGGAGCGCGCGCCGCAGTCCAGGCACCTGTACCACTGGTCCTCCGTGACGAAGTTGTGCCTCCTGATCGTCGGGCCCCGCGGCCGTCCTTGCGCCACAGAGCCATCAAGCGCGCTCGGCCCTGCAGCATCACCGTGACCGTCAGGGTCCTCGATGGGGTCGTCCTCCATCTCGTCATCGGCAGCCGCGGCTGCTGCTGCTGGCTGGGTCGCCACCCTCGCAGCCTCCTCGGCTGCAGCAGCCACCTCCTCAGGCGATGCGCCTGCTGCCGCTGCCGCTGCCGCTGCCGCCGCCGCAGCTGTCGCTCCTGTAGCCGTGGCCTGCCCTGCCGAGGTCATGGCAGGCCTCGCCTCGTCGGCCTCGGGTTGCCATCCTCGCAACTGGGCCTCTCGTCGGCGCTGTGCCCGTGCCTCCTCTGTGGTGGGCAGCGCGACGTCCCCGAAGTCGCCGACCTCCACTGCCATGTCTGCCACGAAGGCAAGCACCTGCTGTACCGTCTTCCTGCGGTCCTGCCAGACGTCGATTTGCCACGGCGGCATGGCCAGCTGCGCACCTTTGACCGCCAGTTCATCGGCGATCTTGTTGCCGTGCACGTGGAACGCGTTCTGCCCTCTGCCATGCGACCGTACATGCGCCACCGTGAAGCCATCCATGTTCGGGAAGGTCCCGTCCACGACGTTCCAAATGCGCATCCAAATGTCGCAGTTGCTCCTCTGCGGCGCTGTGCACCACTGTCGGCCCCTCCTCATGCCTCTCACCGCCATCTCGTAAAAGGGTGACCGGCATGGTGGGGGCCGTCGCCCTGCGCAGGGCATGCCAGATGGCCTGGAGCTCAGCACGCCCCACCGACAGATCAGCTCGTACTCCTGGCAGGCTACCGTATGCTCCACCAAGCGCCGTGTACTGACCTTCGCCCGCTGGCTCCTCGAACCACATGTAGCCCCAGCCGTAACCCTTGAGCGTGTTGGCGCCTTTGCCCGAGCCGTCAGTGAAGCAGACCCCCGAGATGAACGGCATGACGTCGTCCTCGCTGACGTTGTCGCCCTGTGCATTGACCAAATGGTACTGCTCGATCTGGGTGTCGCCCTCTACGTCATGGATGGGGTGCGCCACCAGGCCGCAGTTGAGCTGCAAACTCTCGCCTGAGCCCGCCATGCGCTGCACGATGCCCGCATGCTTGTCTGCGAGCTTGGCCCTGCTCTCCTCGTGGGCCTCGCAACGCCCGAAGCGGTGCCTGAGTGCCTAGCGCGCGCCTGCACTGCTGGCACATGCCGTCGGCTACCGTGCCGCGTTGCTGGAGCTTGGCCTGCGTGCAGTAGTCCTGCCCCACGTAGGCCTTGATAGCGCCTTGATGCGCAGCCCACCTGCGCTTCTTGAGCAGCGCCCTCACCGGCTCCAAAAACGGCATCGGTACCTCCTCGGCGATGCCCTTCTCTGTGGCCCACTTCGTGAGGACCTGCCGCTCGATGGCCCTCTCCAGCGTGTACCTGACCGTCTTAGGCGCCACCGTGTGCAATGACACCTGGTCGCCCGCTGGTGTGAGCAGCGTCCACGGCGCAGGCCATGACCAGCCGAGGTCGCGCAGGGTCCTCAAGACTGCCTCTGCAGGTCTTCTGACTGCCGACCATGCCACCGTGACTGTCGTGGCCAGCCGCGCTGCCGCCTTCCTCCATGCCGCGACCATAGCCTCCTCGTCCATGGCCCGACTCCATACCTGGGCTCGCGTCGCGTCGACCCCGGCGTCGGTTCCTGACACCGCGGGGGTCGTTCAACCTCGAACGATTGGCCGTTTCCGAAACGTCCAAATCGTTCCTTATCGAACCTGGCCATCGCTCGGACGTCCATTCCCTGTTTTTTTTCGGTATTGTGCGTGTTTTTTTTCGCCAAATGATCAAGGATGCTCCTCGATGGTCCTCTCCGAAGGAAAAATGCACACGTCCGAGCGATGCCAAGAAACGATTCTGGGTCGCCCGCGGCGTTCAACACGGACAGCCGCTGGGGGGGTCGCCGCTGGTCGACGCGGCACGAACCTACCGACCATATGCACCGCCCCCCACTGGCTCTCGAAAATTCCCCATGATTTCCAAAGCGGCCAGGTGGGCCACAAAAGCCGCGAAGGTGGCGCAGCATTGCCCCAACAGTCAGGCACCCAACAATTCCTGAGAAGGCCCCAGAAGGATTCCAACACACCGAAGAGAAGGCCGGTAAACTCTCTACGAAGCCCGGCATCACTCAAATACGTTATGCACCCCTCAGGTGGCTCAAGCTGTTGTGTTTCTACGCCTCTCGGAGCAAGATGGCTCCGGGAGGACCTCAGAGAAGCCAAAGATATGCCCAAACTAGCCCCATGGGCCCATGACAGGGCCCCAAGAGGCCCCCCAGACGGCATGGGAACGTCCCAAGAAGGCCCCACGACGGCTCAAGCGTGCCCAAAGACAGCACAGGATGGCCATATGATGGCACGGGGCCCCAGGAGGCTTCCATGACAACCCTTAGATATTCCACTTACGACCAAGAGATGCCCAAGTCGGCCCAAGAGCGCCCCAAGAGGGTCTCCCCACACAGCAGCCCAAGCCTGCCGAGGTCACCCCCGAGCTTCTGTACTGGGCGGTGCTCCAAGCGCCGACCCGCACAGTGCCGCGATGGCACTGTGGCGGCACTCGCCGCAGGCAGCTGGATAGAGTGAACACACACACACATACATACACGGTTTCTGCAGAGAGTCCACAAACATTTGCTGCCCGAAGGGGCGACTGAAATGCATCGAACACACAAATGAAGCACCCACCGACGCGGCGCGATCCTGCTGCACTGGGGAAGCACTACCCCGGCTCCGCCCCAACCTGGGTCGGCCAGGGCGCCGTCCCGAGGCCTGACCAGACGCTCAATAACTCCCTCATCGGCTACACGCAAGTGGCCCTAGGCAAAAGTGACCATTCGTGCGGGGCGAAACGGGGGACGCGGGGTGGCCAAACCTGGGCGCGCAAGCCACTGCTACCGCTTCGCGCTCAGCGATCGGGTGACCCCATTGGGCCCGCACCAGAAGTCCCTCTGGCGAAACGTCACTCCTACGTCCAGTCGACCAGAGCCCGGGTCAGCCGAGGGCGGCAAGAGGGCATCGGCCCCACGTGGCTCCCAAACCACGCTCAGACAGAAAGGATTGGCTGACCCCCGTCAGCGCTGATAGGGGAATGAAGAATGACATAAACATCCGCGCTGGACCCCCCTGGCGGCGCCTCCGGCGCCAGGGAGGGGGGTCCCGCGCCGATCCGAGAAGTCCGCGCGGACCTGCGAGCTTTTATGCTTGTGTCCTCCTTCGTTGCCCTGGCTTTAGGTCGGGCCTGTCCCCCTACAGGCGGATTTTGGGCGAAAAATGAAACATAATCAAAGAATTCTCAAACATGCGCAAAAACTCGTCCCCCAGACTATTCTTTGAGTATCTTTGAGTATTCCTCCTGTAGAGGGACAAGCCCGACTTAACCCTGGCAGACTCCCGTCACGTGAGGCCCGACCGTGCCTTCCCCGCCTCCGTCCAGCCCTCTTGCCCGCTCCGTGCCCCTCCACACTCCTGGCGCTCCGCGCCAAGGGGGGCGGTCCCGCGGCGATCCGAGAAGTCCGCGCGGGCCTCCGAATGTCTATGGCTGTGTCCTCCATGTGCTGCTGTTTGTCCTTCTTCGCTGCCCTGGCTGACTCCCGTCACGTGAGGCCCGACCGTGCCTTCCCCGCCTCCGCCCAGCCCTCGAGGAGGAGGAGGAGGAGGAGGAGGAGGAGGAGGAGGAGGTGGTGGAAGAGGAGGAAGAGGACGAGGAGGAGGAGGATGTGGAGGAGGGGGAGGAGGAGGAGGAGGAGGAGGAGGAGGAGGAGGAGAGGAGGAGGAGGAGGTGGAGGAAGAGGTGGAGGATGAGGAGGGAGGAGGGGAGGGAGGAGGGGGGAGGGGAGGGGAGGAGGGAGGAGGAGGAGGAGGAGGAGGAGAAGGAGGAGGAGGAGGAGGGAGGAAGGAGGAGGAGGTGGAGGAGGAGGAGAGAGGGGAGGAGGAGGAGGGGAGGAGGGGAGGAGGAGTGCTCCCTCCTCGGCGCTCCCGGCGCTCCGCGGGAGAGCGGGGCGCAAAGCGCGGCGCGCGCGCGGGGGGGGGGCCGCCTGCGGCGGCAGCCGCGAGGGGTCCTCCGTGAGGTCGAAGACCGTGGCGGTGACGAAGACCTCGCTGTTGGCCTGCCAGGGGTCGGGCTAACCAGCCTCGAACGTATCCCTATCCCTTGGCTGTCTATGTGGTTGTGGGGGCTGGCATGGGTTTTGATGGAGGAAATTAGCCATGGGGTTTGATGGCCCTACCCTGCGGCCTACGATGTAGTCATGGCCTCCCTTGGGTGGCCTACAGAACAGCCATGGACTGTTCCGCGCCCAGCCGAGGCGCATGAAATGAACCATGGCCGCCTCGACTGAACGCGAAACGGCCCACGACTGCTCGATCGACGCTCGCATCGACGTCTACCCCGACCGAGGCCGAGAGAGCAGGAGGGGGCAGGAGGGCCGAGAGAGCAGGGAGGCCGAGGGAGCAGGAGGTCAAAAGGAAGGCGGCGGGGCGAGGTAGAGGGGAAGGAGGAGAGAGGGAAGGAAAAGCAGAGAGGAGAGAAAGGGAAAAGGGAAAAGGCGGCGGCGGCGAGCGGCGGCAGCGAGCGGCGGAAGGTCAGGAGGAGCAGCGCGCTGTTGCTGCCCGCCGTGCTCGCCGCCGTCTTGTTCGTCTGCTGAGTCCTTCCTCCTGGTCTTCCTCCTCCTCGTCCTCCTCCCCCCTGTCCTCCTCCCTCCCTCCTCCCCCTCCTTGTCTTCTTCTTCCGCCTCCTCCTCCTCCTCTGACGGCGGCCGCCTGCGGGCGCCACGGCGCCTCAAGCAGCCAGCGTCTGCTGCGCCTGCTCCCAAACGGATGCTGGCAGCGACTCGATGCTGACCTTCCTGGCCTGCATCTGGTCCAGCGCGCGCTGGAGGTTGGCCTTGGTGACCTCGTCAGTCTTGCGATCTTTCACGCACTGGGCGATGGCTGCCGTCGTCAACGTCACGTCGGCCTTCGCCAGGCCATCGCTCCACTGGTCATGAGTGGCCTGCCACTTCTCGAGTGGCACCTTCAAGCGCTTCGACTCCTCGACGGCGTGTCCGAGCTTGTGCTGCACAGCACGGTAGGCGTCCTTGAGCCTGTTCGAGACCCCCGTCTGCTTGAAGAGCCCCACCTTCAAGTGGCCGATCGTCTGAGCGAAGTCCGTCGCCTCCCCAGCGAAGCCGTCCATGAAGTGGCTGCCGTTCAACATCCCTCCCGACAACTTCTGCAAGACCGCGAAGAGCACGCGCCCTTCGTCGAGCAGCTGGTCCATTTGGCTCTGCGCATACTCGGACCAGAGGTCCTTGGCCACCTGGTGCCACTTCTCGGCCCGAGCAACGAAACCCTCATACTTGGAACAGCCAAGCTCCTGCAGGATGTCATCGTGCGGCTTCGAGGCGCATGGGATGCCGTCGTCCAGGGAACTGTCCAGCCGCCCCCAAGCACTGCGCAGTTCGGCGGCGTCCTCGTCGCCCGTCTCGTAGAAGGCCACAGCGCACTTCGCGACCTGGATGACCGAGAACGTGTCGGCGAGGCGGTCTGAAACGGCGTCCAGGCTGGGCCTGAACGAGGGGTCAGGCGTGACGCAGGACAGCATCGTGGCGGCCAGCGCGTGCTTGTCGATCGCATCCTGGATCAGGTCTCCGACGGCTCCCAGCGTGTCGAGCTGCGCGTCGTACAGCAGGAGGCCGATGTGATCGGCGACGTGGAGAGTGGCCTTGACGAGGTGCTCGGCGCCCACCAGCAGCGGCATCTGCATACCCTTGTTCTCTTCCACGAACGCCTTGATCTCAGTGGCCACCTGATGGCAGTTAGCCCCAGTGTTGTACTTCTCGATGATCTTCCTGAAGCTGCCTTCGACACGGCACCTCGATGCGTGGTCCACGTGGTTGATGAGATCACCGTACTTGCTTCCGCACGGGTCGTCCGCGGTGTCGGGCTCGAACCCCTTCACGCGTGCGAACTTGGAGTACAGCTCGACCAGCGCCTCCCCGACCTTCACGTCCACTGAATCTGCGGTCGTCCCCAGGAGGTCTGCGATGGCCTTCTCGAGCCTGCCCTGCATGACGATCTCTGCGCCGCCTGTCGATCTCGATGACCCGCGGCACACCTTTCCTCACGACCCGATCTCCACGAGAACGGTGCTCATGAACTCGATGCCTTCAAGCGTGTTGCCCTCTGTAGTCTCGAGCTGTTCGATGGTCTTCCCCATCCTGGGGGCAAGCTGAATGTCTGTTGAGGCTGCCCTCCTGAAGGTCGATTTGTAGTCTGCCCACGGAGCGCTGTTACCCAGCACCTCAGCCACAGGATGCCACTCGGCAGCGTCGGTGACGCCAGTCAAGAGTGCAATCATCACGCCCATGTGGGGATCACACTCCGCGAAGCTCAGGGGGTCGTTGTTCGGTAAGTGAAACAGTAGCATGCCAAGCGCCTGGAAGTGCTTGCAGAACTCAGCGATCTCGGATGGGCACTGGTCACCGAGCTTCGGGAACGTATCCTTGAGGAGCTTGCCAATGGCCTGGAGGAAGGTGACCCTCGCAGGATCCTCCAACTGGGGACGGACGATGTCATCCAAGAGCACCTCTCGAACTAGGTCAACCTTCTCGCTATCAGACATGCCCTTCATAGACGACACCTTGGGGGCAGTCATGTCGAAGTCATCAGGGTGGGGAGACCACGGGATCAGAGTCTCAATGACCACCTCGTCATCGGAGATCGAGTGCTGCACGAACTTCTTCAAGAGCGTCTTGCGAAAGACAGCCGTGGCCTCCACACCGTCTGGGCTGAGCTCCTTCAGGTGGGTGAGGACCTGGGTCCATTGCATGGTGCTGATGTTGGTGGACAGGGCGCTCGCCGCCTCAACTTTCGAAGTGAGCTTGTTCACCAGCACGGAAAGGCTGGGAGACTTCGGCTTAAACCTCTTCAAGCCGTAGGATCGGTCCCCCCTGAGGCTCCCATCCAAGATCTCGTGGATCACCAGGTCGTTCTTGTAGCCGTCGAAGCGCGCCTTCTCAGCAGAGCCAGGCGGACCCCTGCTGCTGGCCCTGCCCCCAGGTGCTGAGTCACCCGCCGCAGAGATACAACTCCGCGCTGGGGATCTGGACCGATCTCGACTACAACCGCGAGCCTCCCCTGACTCGAGTCGCCGTGGCGGTGGGCGGTGCCCCTGCAAATCGCTGGCCGTGACCTGGCCTGGGTGCGAAGCCGCCGCGCCCGACTTCGCCTTGACTAAGGGCTGACTGGAGATGTGTAGAGCGACCGCGGAGCTGGCAGAGATGCCCGAATCCATCCCAGCACTGGGTGCCCCCGCAGGCGAATGCGCAGCGCCCCCAGCTCTCTGGCCACCGCTGGCGCCTGGGAAAACTGACTCCACGTCCTCATGCAATGTGCCGTTCCCAATCGCCATGAGGGGATCGTCCACGGCGGCCTTGGCCTTGGGCGGCGGGGCCTTGAGAAGCATCCCTGCTGCAGAGGCCTTCGCGAGCGCCACGTTCTGCAGCTCTGTGATCGTCGGGGCCTTTGCGAACCCTCTGACGGCGACCGCCTGCTGCTGCCGCAGCTTCGTCACCTCCCGCTTGACGGCGTCCGTCTCTGCACCCGCCTTGACGGCCTGCTGGGGCGTCAGCCTGGTGAATGCCATCCTCACTTCTGTCCTCGTGTAGTTCCTGATGCTGACGTATGGCTGATCTGGATCTGCGATGATCACGCCTGTGGCGTTGACTCCTGGCTGGCAGGAGGACGGAACGCGAGACTGGATCAGGTCGCACATCTCGGGCGTGATGCCGACGGTCCCGCGAGGAGCCACTTGTGAAGCCCACTGCTTCGGGGTGAGCTGCACCATCGAAGTGCTGACCTCCTGTCCGTAGTACGTGACCACCTCGACGCTGCCACGCTCCGCTGCCGTTGCCACTTGGCACTCTAGCTCCAAGTCTGCAGTGACCCTCGCGCCGAACTCGGCGCTGAAGTCTGGATCCTCGCGGCTGCGCTCGCAGATGTCGGGCCAGGCGTTGTCCTCGCAGTAGTGCCTCTCGAAGGTCACCCAGCAGTTGTCGCAGCCGATCCACGGCGCCGTGGGGCGCCCGCCGCGCTTCGACGACGCGACGTCGACTGGCTGCTCGCAACGATGGCAAAAGCCCGAGTCCGATGCACAAGCGCTGCCTCTGCCGCCGCGGCGGGCGGCCGACTTCGGCGGGCCGCGCGACGCTGAAGCAGCAGCGCCACTAGCACGCTTGCCGCCCATCTGGCGGCGGTCTCCCAGCAACAATTCACTGCGTGGCGGCCTGCTGGCCGCGAAGAAGACGGCGAGTCGGGGCGGCAGCCCCACCTCCGAGCCAAAACGGCTACCGTGCGACGCACGGAAAGCCAACGCATAGGCGCTACGATTGGCACCCCCCATCATACCTGAGCAAAGGCAAGCAATGCAAACCTTGGACCGCCACCTCATTGCAATGCAACGCTGATGGGGGGGGGCCCAAGGAGTGGGGAGCAATGCGACAAAGAGTGGCGCCGCGGTGGTGGAGCAACGCAACGCAATGCAACTGCGGGGGGCAGATGAGCTAGGGAACGATTGGTTGCTGGCGCAGCGGCGTGACGCATATGCGCGTGATCATCTGGGCTGAGGCGGCCGCACCGCCATTAGCTAAGCAATGCAAGCGCTGATTTTGAGCGCGCCACCTGTGCAAGGAACCCCCCCATGCCCACTGTTGTCCTAGGGCCTGGGGTCAAAGGGGGGCGATTCGGAGTCCAAGATGGCCGAGGGCGGCTCCTTGCACCCCAGATGGGCCAACGTGGCCCCCAAGATGGCTGAACATCCCAAGACGCACAGACGCCACTTTGGAACACCCTAAACGGCCGAACACCCCCCTCAGACTGACCCAAAATGTGGCGGGCCCATTCGGACCCATACGCCTAGACTGTGGCATAACAACCGCGCTGTGTTGCAAGAAACGAAGTACGATGCAACGGCCCCCCACTCGACGGCTTGGAGTTGGCGCCCCAAGGCCACCCGAGACAACCGCTGGACCCTCGGGACCTGACATGCGATAACGAAAACTGCACCCCCCCCCCCCCCACCTCCCCCCCACCCCCCCCCCCCCCCCCCCCCCGCAAGCGCAGCAATACGGCCGTTCGGGTGGCGCCCTTGCGCGTGCACAGTATACGTTCACGGTGGTGGACGTGCTACTAAGGCAAGCAAAAACTGGCCGACGCTACCAGACCTGATAAAAACTCTCTCCTCCCGTCCTCCTTCCCATCACCTACCCTCCTTGCTGCCCCCCTATATCGTCCTCCCGTCCACTCCTGGCTTCATAGGGAAACACCGTGGGCCCATTCGATTGCAGTGGGGGCGCCGACAGAGCTGACGACGACGACGCCGACGGCGTTAGCCAAAATAAAACTTCCCCGCTGCAAGAACGGACAAGTCAAGAAGAAAGAGAGAGATAAAAACACACCAAACGGCAAGTCCGATGTAACCGAGATCGGCCAGATCGGACAATGGAGGATGAGGATGAGGAGGAGGAGGAGGAGGAGGAGGAGGAGCAGGAGGGGGATGGGGGGGGAGGGGAGGAGGAGGGAGGGGGTGATGATGATGAGAAGGAGGAGGAGGGGCAGGAGGATAAGGAGGAGGAGGAGGAGGAGGAAGGAGGAGGGGGAGGAGGAGGAGGAGGAGGAGGAGGGAGGAGGAGGATGAGGAGGAGGAAGGAGGAGGAGGAAGAGGGGCGTCTACGAGTCTACGAGGATAATGAGTGAGGCATGGGCTAGCCGATGGTGGGCCGAAGTGAGATGGGCGAGGTCGAATGACAAGACGAGCGGAGGTGGAGGGCGAGAGAGGGATGAGACTGGAGCACGCGGTCAAGGAGCTCGCAAGGAGGAAGAAGGATGAAGGCGTCGATTGCGGAGGTGTCACACTGTGTTCAATTGCACCCAGCTGCAACGCATTGAATAGCGGCAGTGCCGCACCATACTGACTCCGAGAAGCGAGATGGTTGATTTGACCGATCGCACGATGCTCGATGGGGCCACGACTGGGCCCTTAAACCATTCACGCTCGAGCGCCTATGGCGCGAAAGCTGTCCAGGCTCGCGCGGCATCCGCGCAAAAACAATCACTATGATGATTAGGTGAGTCGTCGTCGTCCTCAGCTCGTCAACCTTCCTCCCCTCATCGTCGGCGTCGTCAGCGCCACCGCCGTTGTTGAGTCATATCTCCCAGTCGTCGTTGTCGCGCTACTGCCAGGGCAACTGACCGGGCGAAACGGAGCATCCGAGCCTAGCTCGGGCCGAGATCGCGAAGTATCTGGCTGGCAGGCGCAAGCTGGTGCCCGAGCTGAGCCATGGCATCGCCCTGCGAACCGCTGCACGTGTCGCCGATGCGGCGCTTCTGAAACACCACGTTCGCATCGCGCTCAAGGTCAGAGTCTTGCGAGGCAGGCGCACTTATGCTTGCTCTCAGCTTCCAAGCGCGCTTCCTACGCGGGACGTCGCCAGGCTCGCTGCTGCCGCCACCCACTCTGGAGCGCGCGGAAGAAGCAGGCGGGCACTCCAGCTTTGCAGGCGTCTGCTCGCTGGAGTTGCCGTCGGCGCCGCAAGAACGCCCCGCAGACGGATCAAAACCATTGTCTGCCGCAGCCTTCTGGATGGGGCTGTCGCTAACAGTAAAGCAATCTAAAGAAGCCGCTGTGCCCTGATGCAAGCGCTTCGATGGCCCAGGTGGCGTGCTCGCCGTCGGCACGGTCGCAGGGCCCCTGGCGGACCCCGCGCGCGCTGCAGACGGCTCAGGCGAACTCGCCTCGGGCTCGCTAGGCAGAGCGTCTGCGTGCCTTGGAAAAAGAGGTTCCTTGTCAACAGGCGGCGGGCCAACGTGCGAACTATCGCCTGCCTTGGCGTCTGGCGGCCCGCCCTTCTTGCTGAACAGTGCCGCAAAAATACGCCTCGTCGGCCTTCCAGGCCGACTCGAACTGGGACGGGTCGTAAGGCGGGGGGCCATCATCAGATGAAACAACAGCCTCGGCCTGGGGAGGATCAGCATCTTGGGCGACACGCTGACCAGCGCCCTGCTGCTCTTCAGGGGCTGGGCGCTCCGAGACGGGGGGCGCGATCTCCGTCGGCGCTGGCGGATCTACAAACTGCGGGCCCACGATGACCAAAGAACACTGGATGTCGATATTGTCTACCCGTCGCTGGTAGCCCACTGGCTTGCTGGGGTCGGTGATGACCAGGTTGGCGCTCCCAACAATTTCGCCCTCCAAGGCCATGGGACAATGACCCTTGACAAGGAGCAAGCGCAAAACCGAATCTGCATATGGCCGACAAGCTTGACCCGCGCGGCTGGGGTCTAACAGCGGCGGCGTGTTGTGTAACAGTAATGACGTGATGTGGCGATCCGGTGTCGAATGATGATGGCGGTGATACGTGCTTGGGGCAGTGCAAACGGTGGCAACAGGTAGCGATGATAAGCGACCTGCCAACGGCAGTCTGGAAGGTTGTAATGATGATGGCCCAACCATAAAGGTGATGTGCGCCCGTCCACATGGCGGCGCGCGCTGCGCCGCCGCCGTTGGCGCGATGCGCACCCGAACGTGCGCGCGCGCAGCACGCGCATGCGCGAACGCCGAACACAGCGCACAACGGTCGCAACATTGCGCCCGTGGCGTGGGACGCACATGACATTGATGATGCGCGCGCGCCCTTGCCGTGCGGCAGAATCCCGACACAGCGTCGGCACGCATCAAGACCCCCGCCGCCCCCCAACACACACGCCGCCACCACCGCCCACGCACGCACACGCACGCCACCACCACACCCGCGCACTGCAACCACCACACCAAAACCAATCACCCCCAACCACACAGCCCCTCACCCATTCTACACCGCCCGCCGCACAGCTGCTCCCCCGCCCCGCCATGACGCCAGCCGCGCTCTGCCGCCGCGAACCGCTTGCATCAAACCAGAGAGCCTGGCGCAGAGCCCCATTCTGGGAGGGGTCGCTAGCAACGCCCCGTTCGGGGCGTGATTCGTTCAAGGGGCGTGCCTCAAGGCATCCCCAATTCGATGCGAGGCCCTCCAGCCCTGGCCCCGCTGGGGCTGGCTTCGCCCTGGGACTTATTAGCTGCTGGGCCCCGTCACGAGTCAGGCGAGGCCCGCCAGCCTTGGCTCCGCTCGGGGATGGTTTCGCTCAGAGCGGTGGCTCCTGGGCCACGACAGTGCGTGGCGAGGTCGCCCAGCCTTAGCCCCGCGGAGGCTGGCGCCGCTCAGGATGGTGGCTTCGGGGCCCTTGCATGTCGGAGCCAGGTTTCCAAGCTGCGGCCACGCCTGGGCTAGGATTCGCCCCAGGGATGGGCCACTGGGCGCGCCCGCCCTGGCGCGAAGCATACTAGCCATGTCCCCGCTGGGGCTGGTTTCGCCAAGGGCGGATGCCTTGATCCCGCCGCGAATTCGGGCGAGGCCGCCGAATCCTGGCCCAGCTCTGCGCTGGGCCCGTCGAAGGCGCGAGCGGCCGTTTGCCCCCGCCACTGGAACGTGGAGACATCGGACGCAATCGCCGCCCGAGATCGGCTTCGTTCGCTGCCATGGAACCTGACCCGCCCTGGTCAAGTGCGAAGTCAGCAGGTCTGGGCCCCTCTCTTTGTCTGGCACTTCGCAGGCGGCGGCCCAGGGGGTTGCCAAATTGGAAGCGAGAAGCTAAGGCCGTCGACCCTGCGGCGTTGTTCTCATCGCGGTATTGGCCCAATGGGCCGCGGCACTTCTGGGCGGCGCATTCCAACGTGAGCGCAGCTCGCGGCAGAACCTGCTCTTGCCGTCGGTTCCACGGCGCCGCCCCTACGCTGGGCGGCGCGCCGCAGAGGTCGCCATGCAGGCGCGGCGCCGCGCAGTGCGTTGGCTTCAGGGCCTGCGCTGACCCTGGCGGAGCCATCAAGCTGCATGGCGCCGTTCGGCGCCGGTTTCGCACAGCGCGCTGGTCGACGCGCACTCCCCGACCCAAGGCGCGGCCAACCAGCCTGGGCCCCGCGGCTCTGGGCTCCCTGGAGGGCGCGCGCTGGACAGGCCCACTTCAGCGCTGCGCTTTCATGCCTGGGGTCCGCTCGGGATCGGCGCTGCCAATGACGCTGGCCACTTGGCGCCGCCGAGCCGCGGCGATGCACCCCAGGCGAGGCCATGCAAGCAGGGCGCCGCATTAGTGGCGATGGCTTCTGGCGCCGCCCGAATGCGAGAAGGGCACCCCAGTGCTCATCCAGCCTTGGCG